GGAACCAGAGTGAGTGAGTGAGTGAGTGAGTGAGTGCTTATAAGTGGCAGAAAATGCACGTGCAGCACGTCCTCTTGCTCTGGGGTAGGGGTGGCAGGGTCTGGTGTCCAGCCAACTCAATGCTCACCATCTCCCTGTGTGTCCCACTTTCGGGAACAAAGAGGCAGTTCTGAGGGCAGGCAGCAGTGATCTCTTTACTCTTGCTGCACTCTCTCCAGTTCAGCCCTGCAGTCCTGAAGAGAATCCTTTGGTGAGTATCTACCATAGGAGACAATGGGGTGGATCAACTTTGTATCTTCAGTATTATGCATCGGAAATCTCTTTTAAAACGCCCTGCCTTGTTTACTGTGGTGTCATCCTTATTGACTTCGATAAACGGCTATATTTGTACTGTGCTTTTTGCATTTAAGTTTGATGAGTTAGTCAGTGTTGATATGAATGCACTTAGTATTTATGGATATTTTGTTTTCGACATTATAGTTGCATGTTTATTATAATTTTAGTTTTTACTTAAAATTGTTGCAAAATTTAAAATTAGTTGCTATTAAGCATAAGTTTTCAGAAAGCATGTCTTGCATTTTGTCCATGAATAATTAAATTGGCCCAAAATAGAAACATAGTATGAATGCTGTGTCCAATTTTCTGTATTTGAACATTTTTAGTTCTATATAAGTATTTCAAACCTGCCTCCTTCAGTCCATGTGTCTGTCTGTGCTGTAGATGGAGCATTGACTTGAGAAATCTTTCTGCCTGAAAGAAACCTGTCATTGTGTGGAAAATTGTCATTTTTATTTTCATTTTTATATGAATAAAACATTATTATATCGAAATATGCTTTAGCTGTAACTTTATTTAAGACTCTGCTTACTGTTTTTGTAAGTTATTTACCCAGTGTAAACAGTCTAATTACATTCATATTGTTTTTAAAGCAAATCTTAAGTTAAATCTTAAGTTATTCATCTTTCAAACTGAAATTTGAATATATGTTTTATATGAAACCTGAAAGATGTCTGTCACTCAATGTTAAGCCAGTTTCCTTAAAATATCACCAAAAATGACCTTAAATCTGCCATGTAAATCCAAATCCAGCTCATCTGAAGTAAGATGGTAGCTTTATATGATGGCAGATTTATGATTCACATATACTGTAGGGAACATGGATGTACAAAAGAGCGATTGATTCATATCGAGCATGAGAGAATTTGAGTGCTTGCCTGTAACGGTGGGTTCACACCACTGTGGATAGCGAAGATGCAAATATACATGCTGTAGTGCTTTTTTTTTTGGCTGTAGCCAAATTGGGTTTGGCTCAGTCGGAAGTACTGCTGAAAGCTTCCATCATCCAGTTATAGTTTCTGGAGGGGTTTTTGAACTCCCAGAGCTGGGTGCACCTCTGAAAGGATATAGTGGACTCAAACACGGCGCAGAACGAATCTACGCTGTTTTCCGTCTACCTAAAGCACAAAGCACAGCTGCTTTCTCAATAAAATCCATGTTAGCCATTAGCAAGGAGACTAGTCACCGGGCAGACAGATCCCTTGCAAATGAAGCAAGTAAACAAATGTTCACGCGTCTATTTATGCGCAAGCCGCGTCTGGTATAACCGCCCCATACGAGATCCAGAAAATGCCTGCATTCACAGTGTGAGTACAGCATGAGAATTCATTACTGTCTCATTACTGTATAATATTGAATATAATGCTTAATTATTCAACATTTTCAAACTAAAACCATTTAATAATGATATATCTTATTATTATTTAAATGTATTATTTCAATAATAATTAATTATTTATAATTATTAATTAAATAAAATATAATTATTAATTATTTAATTATTCAATAATAAGTAATTAATTATTAATACACAAGCACATCAACAGCCTGTTTTTCCTTTCAGTTCTTCCTTTCAGCTTTTTATAAGCAAAAGTCAGGGAATTTGACAGTTGACTTAAAGTGGAAACCATGTACGGTGGAGGAGGGACTCTTATAAGAGCAGCATCCTATGGTGAGGAAGGAGAGAAATGCATCTTGGTAGCATACGATTTTGACAGCGGTGAGGCACGTGCATAAGTAGTGTACTACAGTCAGGGAGGCAAGAGGACGTTTGTATGTGTATTTTAAAATTACTCGACCTATTTTAAGTCCCTAGGCACAGTTTGCTGCTTGTGACATTTGCTGCAACAGTAGAAGTTTATTCTACTGATTTTATTATGATTTGTATAGAATTGTGACATACATCTATCATTATATCCCTAAAATAAATGTATTCATTTTGTTAAATAAAAACATTATTGATCCAAAATTCTCACTGATCTTAGATGATTTTAATGATCCTAGATGGCAGAGTTCCCAATGACACATACGGCCGATGCAGTGTGTCTGTTCACATTAAAATGTCTTTAGATGCTCGTGCAGAGGTAAAATTGACTCGGTGCATCTTTTTTGTTTTACTGCACTGTCAAGCATTTTTTCCCATGCAGAGCACATCCTTAAAGTGTGTTGTCTCCATTATTAGAACTGTTGTAATGCCTACTGTTGCAATGAACCGAAAAGTGTCCTCTTCTGCATTTCACATGTTTGTTTTTCCCTGTCCACTTCTGTCATCCCGTCCTGCAGAGAGTGAGAAGCCTAACAGCAGGCTTATGTTATGTGCGTGATGAAAAATGCCTAGCGGTAACAAGTGAGAGAGGGAGAAGCGGAGAGCAGCGTGTCATCTCTCAGCTGCTGCCGCTGCTCTCTCCTGAATAGTAATCAGTATTAGAGAGAGACACACTGGTAATCCTGCAGCAATATCTACTTGCCAGTCGAGAGCCATAGAGAGCGAGCGAACATGTAGGAAGCAGTTGGTCAATGGAGACCAGCTCAGCACAAAAGACATGCTATGGTCAGTAATCCACATTTTTGTTTGTTGCAGGATGTCTGTATGAAGCAGATAGGTGTGTGTTTGTACGTTTTATTTGTTTCAAATTATTTATTGGCATGTATGCACTGAGATTTTTGACTTTGAATGCTAGTCCATGGCAATATTCTCTATTGGTGACTGTTTTGGGCTTATCCTGGAAAAAAATTAGTTTGGTATCTGTTTTAGTAATTGTATTTAAACTCCAGTGAATGCATTATATATTGGACAGGCAGGTTGGAACGGTCGACTATTGAACATCCTACACGCTGGACATCAGGACATTGTAATGCATGGCCATGTTCCTCAGTTGTTGCTATGCAGGTGGATGGATTTCCCTAAACTACCTCTATGCTAAGACATGTTTGGTGCTTTATTTAAAAAGGTAAAAAGGGTTTGCTTTTGAGCTGGTTTCTTGGTAACCTGAACAGCTGGTGGTTTTTCATGCCTGGGATTGTCAAAAGGGTTGTGATTAGTGTTGGGATCATGCTGCTCACAGAGTGGTTTCTGTGCCTCGCCATATTTTATTGTACAACACTAACTGTCTCAATGACTGCAGGATCACATCCAGCTGACCTTGCTGCTGCATTTTATCTCATAAGGCAAAGCACTTCAGTAGCTATAAGAGTTAGAGCTTTTAGTAATGAATTAAAGGCATTTTTCTCCATCTCATTAGAGTAATTCATCTTGCCATTGCTTTTGTGTTAAACTATTTATAATCCCATTTTTTCTGAATTGTTGCTATAAATCAGTTAAAAATTGCAGTACTTTTACTTTTATTTTAATTTTTACCTTTGTTTTTTTGTGCGTGTGTGTGTGTATATATGCAAAAATAATAAAATAATTTTATATTTAAAAATATATTCATTACAGAAAAATTGCTGTTTGACATGACACAAAAAAGGTTTATGCTTTAAATATGGTGGTATTCTGTAGCACAGCAAAAAAAAAAATATACAAAAAAAACTTACTTATGCTGCATTGAATTTAGTTGTTTAGAAAATGTCTGAAATGTCTAAAATAAAAATGTAATGCCTTTAAGTCTTAAATTTACTTAAATATTTGTGTTGTAGGTCTTAAATCTTTTTTGAACAGTTCTTAGTTTGGATACAAGTAGGGCTTGCCTGCACAATATTTACAATATATTTTGAAAAATGTTTAAAAAGTGTATTATTCAATTGTTATTATATTATTAAATGTTTTAAATTCTTATAATTTTTTTGATAGGGCAAATAAAACTCTTTTTCATCTGGGCAGTTTGAAAAATTCCTAGGTGTTTAGCCCTTTATGAGTCTAAAATTTCATTCATAATGTATTTATACTTATTTAAATATTATAAATATTTATTTTATTACATTTAATTGTTTGTTTTATATATTTTTAGTAATATAGATATTATTTATTTAAAAATTACAAGCATTACAATACTCTATTGTTTGGTATATTTAGGCCTTGTTTGTACAAAATTGTCTTATAGCCTGCGAATATGACACGTTTTGTGAGATTCACCCATAATAATGAATGTAAAACATTGGCAGCTAGTGAATATATAGTTATTTTCTGAATGGTTTCAAACTATTTTTTTTAACACATCTGGTGGTCATAAAAGTCTATGGCCAACATCCAAATGTCTAATAATCATCGTCTCACTGAATGTGGAGGCTCTGGGTACTTTGATGGATGGAATAGTGATTGAGGTTGTTTTGGGAAAACGGTGATCGATGCATGTCCACAAGTTCTCTTTCCATTCTTTAATAGCATTTTATTTTCATTTAGCTGAATTTCGTTGAATGTGTTTTTAATGGAGTTATAATGATGAAGGTTTGCGTTATTATTCCCATATGGCTCTTTCCATATTATTAGAGGCAGCAGATTTATTTTTTAGGAGGTATAACAGCATTGGATGGAGTAAAAAGCATTTTTCACTGCAGCCAGTTTCTTTTTTTGGATCATTATGTTGGTATGGTATTTGGATGCCAAAATTAATTTGTGCATATCTGTTGGACCTCAGATTAATGATTTAGTATATCAAAATACCCAATTTCTGTAACTGTTATTAACCATTTCCAGTCTAATCAAGCTTCACCTTGCCTTGCAGCATTTTCAGCTGGCATTGATTGACTCCACACCCTGCACTTTGTCCAAAGCTGAAAGTAAGTACCATCATAAAAATGTTCCCTCTTATTTTTTTATTAAACATCATTTTTTTTTAGGAACTTGCATTGTATCCATGAGCGTTTTTAACCAGCAAAGATGAATTGTCTCTTTGAGAGGTGATTTCAAAGGAAAAAGGTTGTCTTGCCTTTTGCTGAGTGTTTCCTCAATTAGATTTTTCCCTGTACCATTTCCATCCTGCCTGAGACTGCAGTTGCCAGGGAAACTGCATGACTGGATTCAGCTGTGTGTTGCCTTGCATACGGGCAGCAATGATATGCTTGAAGTGCACAAAGGGCAAGCTAATATACTTCTTCCTGGTGTCTGTATGCTTGTGAGCTTATTAATGCTCATGCCGTGAAGACAAAGAAACGCCGGTTTAATTTTTTACTCTATCAGATTTGGACATACTGTTTCCATCAGAAAAGGGATTTACAGTATTAATCAGTTCCTCTTTTTGTTTCCACAGTTCAGTTCCACATTGCTCATGTATATGAAATTCAGGTGAGTGTTCCCCTTTTTATAATGATTTGTTAAAGATGCTTAAAGGAAGTTTCACTGATACTCGTGTTTTGGGGTGAAATGTTCTGAATGCTTTTTGTGATTATAGACCTCAGCAGTGGCATGTTGAAATGTTTTTTTTTTTTTTTTCATATAGTTGCTGTTTGTATGCATGTTTAAATTGAACAACTGAACGATGATTGATTTTTCACTTATTTTTATAGACCCAATATTAAAATAAAAAATGGGCTAATAATAATGTTGCTACCTATCATTTTATGGAATTGGTGAAACAATTGGTAAAACATTTGTTATTAAATGTATAAAGAAATAGTTTCATATGTTTTATATTGTTTATTTAATCTCCCCCAAATGTCAATATCTGCCAAGCAAATAGCTGCATTTCAAATGAGCTAAACACCCTAAAAGGTCTCTGTTTGGCATGGTATTAGTTCACTTGCACACCTAAAGCATGCACAGAAACCGGTCTATCGAATAATGTGTATAATCACTGAATTTATACCCTCCTTCAAATAAACAACAAATAGCTAACATATTGATATAACTCAAAAGTTTTTTAGTCAAAATGACTATGACCAAAGGTGCTTTTTTAACACCGACTTTCTAGGGATGCAACTATTCGCCGCAATGCAACAATGAAATTTTAAAGCAATTTACAAATAAAAAAATAAATAATACAAACTAAAGAAGACTCTTAAATATAAACAAACTAAACATTTGTGCAGCTACATTGCAAATTTAAAAGGAATTTCAAATAAAAAATGCGCAATAAAGGAGACTCTTTAATACAAACAAACTAAAACTGTTACTCTGCTGGCATTTTACAATTTTTTTTTTTTTTTTTTTAAGAAATATCAGCATATCTGTTTTCTGGTATAAGCTGAGATCTTTGCACATTTACAATGTTGCCTGCTGGTGATAAAACTCTTTCACTGGGGACTGAGATGGCTGATGTGGAGAGGAAAGCCTTTCCCAAACCAAAGAGTAGTGTGTACGAAGGAGGTCAATAGCCCCCTCTGCTCCTGGGGACATAAAATGTTGATTATAATAAACGATATATTAAGCAATTAATAAAATAGGCATAAACAAAATTGAAAAAGAGTGGGTAAAAATAGAACAATCTAATAGCTGGTTCTGCAACAGCACTGCTTTCGCTTACAGTCTGAAAAACATCTTCACACTTTTGTTATGAAAATACTGATGCGCTGTGCAATCTTCGTAGCACTCGTCGAAGCAAGCAGAGCTGCCAATGCTGCGCTTTGTGTGGTTTGACCTATTAATAGCTTTTTGCATATAGTAGTTTTTCACTGTGCTGCATCATATTCGTTGTTCTGTTCGTGCAAGTAAATATTTGCACACAGTTTGTTTGTCTGCCGCCCCACCTCTTCCTCGCCACTGATGTGCAGGTAAAGCGAGTTTGCGACAGTAAACACAGCGCCCCCTCTGTTCAAAATGCACATCGTGATTGATATTACTTTTGTACTAGTTTGAATCGTCACATATTTTAATCTATTTTCAACCGACTTACAGTGAATTGTTACATCTCTATGGCTTTTTGTTTCTGATTCTATTTCTCCTTTAGCTCTGTTTATTTGGGCGTATGCCCAAAGGATCTGCATGAAATCCATAAACAAGGTGGTTTTGGCCCACTTTAAAACTAACTCGGAAGCAGTTCACTTGTGGTGAGCAAGCAATCTGACTCAACGGATGAACAAGCTAGGCTTTGTCAAAATGTCTAATGCTGTGTTCACACCAGACACGATACGTGTGAATGGCACAAATTGAGCGTTTGATGCGCTTAATGCGCGTTTCGCACGAATTGCTCAAGTTTGAATATCTGAACTTCAGCGGACATTCGCGCCACAATAACCAATTAGGAGCTTGCTCTTGTGGGTGTGTTATTATGAAGTAGCGCCTGTTGTTGGTGACCCGTGGAAAAATGCTCTTGCACACACCAACAACAGTTCATCAAACTGGGCTTGGCTCAGTCGGAAGCACCACTGAAAGCTTCCATCATTCAGGTTTATTTTCTGGAGGAGTTATGAGCTCACAGAGCTGGGTCCACCTCTGAAAGGATCTAGTGGACTCAGACAGAGCCCCCAACCTATCGATGCTGTTTTTCAGCCATCACAAAGCACATAAACACAGCTATTTTCTCAATAAACGCCATGTTAGTCATTTAGCATTGAAGCCACAGTCACCGGGCAGACAGAAGCCCTACCCATGAAGCGAATCCGCGTCTGTTTTGAAGTGAATTTGATGCGCGAATCAAGCGGATTTTGATGCGCGAATGAAGCGAGTAATGAAAGAAACTCAAATGTTTACACGCCTGTTTACACGGGAATAGTGCAATTTATCCATGCGTTCTGCGCCTGGTGTGAACACAGCATAATGAGTTGTTGAAAAAAAGCCATTGTTGTTTGTCTAATGCCTCTATGAATTAACTCATGAGTGAACCTGGAGCAAAGACTGTGAAGTTCTGAATGAAAATTTAGTTAAAAGAAGACCTTTCAAAATGACTGTTTAGAACACACAGCCTTGACTGCTGCTCAAAAGGATAAAATAATATAACAAAAGAGACGATAAGCACACGGAGCTGCTGTTTATCAGTGCTGATGAGTGATTGATACGAGCAGAATACCCAGACAATAGAGATATTCTATGAGCAGTCAGATCAAAGTTTACTTGTATGCAAGAAATGTTTGTATGTTTTGCCTTATAAAAAATGAACCAAAACCAAAAGGTAATTGCATCATTGTAACCACTTTGGAGCAAAGCAGACAGTCGATAGGTATGAAAATCTTTTAAATTAGTATTTTCATTAGAAATCTATTCATTATATATTTGTGCATATACCTTAGATTAATGGGTACTGAAGCCAGATCTGGAGCTCATCCAAAAACTAGTACACCCAAATTTATGTTATAGAAAAATATTAAATACAATTTTTAAAAAGAGGGAAAAAAAATTTAGTTGAAATTTTGTAGTTTTTAAAACTTTTTTTTTTTAATAATATTTTGCTTGAATTTAATGGTATTATCTATCAATTTCTAAATATGTTTGGTGACTAAAATATTATTTGAATAAATATATGTTTAATTAATCTGTTTTGTTTAAACGCACCAAAATACATTGCCTATATTCACTGAGAAATGGATACAAATATTCATTTTTAAAATGGAGTGTACTCCATTATGCTGAGCACTGTACATCTTACAATTTCTAATTCTTCACTAAAATTTGTAAAAAAATATATAAATAAATAAATTCTACAGACCAAAGAAGTAGGATTCCAGAAGTTTTTGAAGTCCTATTTAAAAGTTGGGTTTTTTATGTCATAAATGACTGCTTGGGAAAAGTAGCAGGTCGTAGAGTTGACAGGGTGTTTTTTTGGTGCTTGGCTTTTCTTTTGCTCAGTTAATTTCCCCTGCCTAAATATAAACACTTGATTGATGGATTTACTTTTTGGGTGACACCTAAAACCTTGTGTGTGTTCAGCCAAGCGGTCTCTACTCTACCTTCCAATTTTTGCTTCAGCTTACCTTAACCAAGTCTGTGTGATGAGTGACATTGTCCCTCATTCAGTCCTTTTGTTCAACTAGAACTGTTAGATTTAATTTGAAAATAATATAAATGTACATCTTTTTTTCTGTCAAACCTCTAACCTGCCAGGCAGGGACTAGGTTTTACAATGGGTTGATTTTATTGTCCCCCACACAAAGATGAGATTGCTTTCATGTTTGTTAGCCTATTCGTGTTTGGAGTCATATTGCTTTGGTCAGTTACCAATGGTGGTCAGCAATCAGCTCCAACAAAGATCTGTGTCAAGGTCGCTAAGAAAAACAAACACTTATTCTGAGAGGGCTTCTCAAGTTGCACTGATACAGAACATGTCTGTGTTTGTCTGACTTGTTAAGTCTGGTCTGGCCTGCACTGACCCTCCCCCTGCGTCTGTCTGTGTGTTTGTCTGTCTCCTCCTGTCTGGCCTGGTCAGTGTCCAATGTGCTTCCTCTCTTCCTGAGAGCGTACATTGTGGTCACTCTGACGGGGCCCTTTGTGTTCACCCGGAGGGGCCGTAAAAGCACTGACCCTTTTGTCCATTAAAACATCTCTCCCCTTTCTGTCTGTTTGCAGAAGAAATACCGCATCGCAAAGGAAGCTTACGAGAGTCTGTTACAAACAGAAAATCTCCCTGCACAGGTGAAGGCAACTACGCTCCAACAATTAGGTGAGTGCGAGTATAGCCACATTTCTACTTCACATAGTTGAGACGATCATTATAAGGCTGGAAAAGTCATGAAAGTTATGATTTTTTGCTGCTTATGCTCAGCTATTAAATATTTAATTAAATGGGGATTACACCAAGTGGTTGCAGTGTTCATGAAATGGTTTTCTGTAAAAACCTTATCCTGCAATCAGAAACATCTGGATAAGTTGAGAAATTCATTCATCCTCAGACCCGTGGGAAACTAGACTTTACTTTTGAGTTTCTTGTGTAGATGTGGCGTTTGCTGTGTAATTTTAGCCTTCATCTATTCAACAAATAGCTCAGATCAAGGAATTTCAGAAATGCATGGAGTAGACATTTATGAATGTTAATTAATTATAAGAATAATAAATATAAATTAAATCATAAATGGCATTTTTTGTCTTAGTCATGGAATATAAAGGATATATGTTTGTTGATTCAAATTGTAGTGTTCAATCTATCAGAGCTTTGGCTTCAAAATGACCACTTCAAATACTTGAAGTAAAAATGCACAAATACTTGAATTTTAAAACAGACAACAGAAAAACAAAATCTAAACATTGTAAAATTACTATTGAGTGATCAAATATGGAAGAGAGCACTTTAAAGGATCCAAATATATTTGATATATTCAAATATATGTTTTTTTTTCTCATGTCGGCTATTAAAGTAATGCAGAAGGATATTCAATCTAAAATCCTTTTTAATATTTTAACAGTATTTTATTCATTTACAAGCACAACAGTGGGCTGTTTTTCCATGCATTTAGATGTCATGTAAATTCAGCTTTTTAGTCAGTTGAAGTCAAGGAATTTGCCATTTAGCATACAGTTTGAACGCCTTTTAAGCAGATTTTTAAGAACTTTTGTTTTTGATGTTTGGATATATTTACAAGGTAGTGCTGGGCAATATGGAAAAATGCAATTTTGATTAATTATTTTCCATATTGAACAATAACTATATATTGTTCTTATCTATATCATTTGTTAAGCTGCCGTATTAAAAAGAGCATCTCAGCAATGACTGAAGCCACAAAAATGAGAGGGTCCATTAAATAGCATGACCTATTTTCGGTGGGTGATTAATATTTGGATTCCCATTGTTGCACATTTCTGCTGTGTGATTGGCTCTTAGATCAATATAGAGTAAAAAGTCCAGAGCTTATCATTGTTATTGACATACATTTTATTGCGATTCTATATAATATCGTTTACCGGCCCAACCCTATTACAAGGCATGTTTTGAAATGCAATGTCAAACTATTTACCTTTTTACTGTTGTCATACAGGTTTAAGAATAATTATATAACAACTTTCAGGTTAGATAATTGTTCATGCCTTTTACTCAAATTAGTCTAGTGATGTTTTCAATAACATCATCTCCTCATGCACAATCCAGGGTTTCTAATTGCCCCAAGGTTCTCCAAGGTGTACACTTTGCTAAGTGCTAATGATAAATGTGCGGATTGCTTTAGGGATGCTGTGGAGTGGTTAGACTAAGGACGATTCATAAATTAAGATGTGGCACCAGGGAAGGTGCATTCCAGGATGTGGCTATCTCTAAGGTACTTTGGCTAGAACTAATCAATGAGTAATGCAATGGAATTATTCGTAAATGTATTATTATTAGTGGTGTGTTGTGTATTCACAAACACTTACTCCTCATCACACAGAGCTTCTTTATTTTGACCACTCTGGAAAAAAAATGTTCTGCCATAAAACCCCTGCAATTGTCGGCAATGGTCTGGTTGCTGTAGTAACCGGTCCCGAGTGCAGGCGCTTGCCACAGGTGTTAAGAGCTTGCTTGGGATCAGTGCCTAGGAGAAGCCAAGCCACATGGGGGAAGTTCTTTGTCTGCACACTGTCTAGTTCTCCTTAACAACTTCTGGCTGGGTGGGAATAGTGAGGAAAAGGGGCTGTTTGTTCGAAGCTATCTCTGCTGGGACCTTTTGAAGCTGCTGGTGGTTGTAGAAACCATCCCAGCCCCCAATCTTACCAACTCCACCTCACCTCCCCAACCTACCCTGAAGACAGGGAGCGAAAACCATTTGCCCACTATTTGAGTGCTGGTGTAAAAGCCTGCACAGCGCAGAATGTGGCTTAGTGGTAGAGCAGAGAATGTTCAGCTATTGATGGCGTTTCAGATATGTTGTTGAGAATGGTGTTTTTGATTTAATCCTCATGTTTCCCGCTGCTCCCTCAGGCTGGATGCATCACACGGTCGAACAGTTGGGAGATAAAGCAAACAAGAACAGCTATGCTATTCAGTGTCTGCAGAAATCCCTAGAAGCAGACCCCAATTCTGGACAGTCTTGGTACTTCCTGGGCAGGTAAGAAAATATTTATCTTGTGTAGTAATGTTTTTTACCTGATGTTACTATATAACTGATTATATTATATTATATTATATTATATTATATTATTTTTTATGCATTAATCTGAATATTACAGTTAGTGTTTATCTGTTGTTTGAAAACATTTTTGCTGATGTCCTAAAGTAGTTCGTTACAACAAGTTAGTACATTTTGTAAGTTGTTTTTTATTTCCCTGATCTCAAACTGTAAAAGTATGGCACAGACTGATTAAAAGTATATATCTTGAACCCAGTGTATGATGCTTTGGTCATTATCTCAAATTTAAGCTCTGTAACTTTCCTAAAAGTCTCTATATTTGGTGTTTTCGTTTATCTTCCAGGTGCTACTCAAGTATTGGGAAGGTTCAAGATGCCTTCATATCTTACCGACAGTCTATTGATAAGTCTGAGGCCAGTGCAGATACATGGTGCTCAATCGGGTAAGCTTTTAATGATAGTTTTTTTATATGATTTGACACTCTTTGCTTAAGTACAATGATGTATTATGATAAAATGAAACTTCCATGTCGTTTTGGTAGTTGGGTGTAAAGGGGGTCATGTGGGACTGAGGCTGTGGGTTTCTGTTGCTCTAAGTGGAGAAAAAGAAACCCTCTTGTTTCTAAATATTTAAGCTGAAGCATTCGCCTGCACCCCAGAGCTGTACTCCTCTTTTTATCTCCATTCATAGAACGAAAGTAAGAATGAAATAAATGTTTGCACAACAAAGAAGTAGCCAAAGGCTGAAAGATCTTTGTCTTGTGTTTTGAAAAAAAATTCCCTTTTACACTAGCTTTTTTTTTTTTTTTTTTTTTTAACAATCCACATCTGCAAAAAGGTAAATGTGCTGTATTATGTATATAAATGTCAGGGTATTATTTAGCACTGTCACCTTGGTTGTAAACTACCTGTAAGTGACAACATGCCATTGGTGGTTTGGTGCTCCTGTCTATGTGTAGTTTGCTGTGTAAGATATGTCTCTGCTTTTGGTTTTATTGTTAAGTGTATTCGCAAGTGTTATGGATTTACCGACAGAGCATCAGGAAACACTTGAGCGCTACCAGGTACTCCATGCTCTGTTTGTTTGTGCTTGCCATTAATCTGCAATCTCATAAACATGGTACTATGTTCATGATGTCGTTGCTCTCAAAGTCTCTTGTTTTTAGGTGTTTAAACAGACACTGAATTGTAAAAACCCATGTAAAATGTAGAATGTAAAAAGAAATTATGACACTTAAGTAGTTCTACAAAGACAGTAGCAATTTTTTTATACAAATAAACACACACCCAAGAGAATTTTTTTTTCATATTGGAATGCTTAAAAGATGTTAAAAGGATTTTACAGGCTCGTAGCCAGCCTGGTGAAAGGAGTGGTTCTTCTTTTTCTAAAAAATGGACCTTTTTGCAGTTATTCACTTGATTTTTCTATTGAATTATGAGGTTAAATACTGCATTTAGTGGCATTTTAAGCACTGATTTTAGCTGGATTAGCTTGCTGGATGGTCATCATAACCACACTTTTTGATACTAAAACATTTCCTAAAGGTTTAGAGAAAAAAAATGCTTATTTTTAAGTTACAAATGTATTAATCTGTCATTAGTTTGATACATATATAATAAGGATTTTTTTAAATTAAAAACGGTAGCATATTGTCATTTATTACGCAAATAAAAAACTGAGCAGCACATTTAACTTTCCTCAGATTTGCTCAACTTTCACAATTTGCCCGTTTGAATATTGAACAATTAAAAATAAATAAATAAATAATAATAATAATAATTATTATTATTATTAATATAGTAATACAACTACTACTACTAATAATAATAATCATAATGTAGAGCTTGGTGATTTTTCTAGCCTCGTAAAAAGTACATTTGAAAATTCATGGATAGCAACAATTGCCTAATAAGTTATCAAATTTGGTGATTTTTTTTTTTTTTTTTTTTCTTTCAAAAATAAGGTCCCTTGTAAATGTTTTCTCTATTTAACAATAATGTAGTTGGTCTGTCGTGAAAGAGGACTTCATTTACGTCACATTTAGCCTTATAAATGCCTTATGGGTTATTTTCACCATTTATGATGGCATACCAGTCAAAGTTAGACAAATGAACTCATGTGTGAGTTCTTTTGTCCAAGTGTCTAATTAAAAAGATAGGAGTTGTTGCTTGTTAGAAACGGGCTGTTTGCTTTTCTTTTTTAAGCTCTTGTCTCTACTGTGCTTGCATCCACAGTGTGTTGTATCAGCAGCAGAACCAGCCGATGGACGCACTGCAGGCATATATCTGTGCAGTACAGCTGGACCACAGCCATGCGGCTGCCTGGATGGACCTGGGCACGCTCTACGAGTCCTGTAACCAGCCACAGGATGCCATCAAGTGCTACATCAATGCCACGTGCAGCAAGTCCTGCAGTAACATCCCAGCTCTAACTGCTCGCATCAAATGCCTCCAGGTATAAAGTGCTCGAACAAGACCTTACCAGAAGTGGAAGTGTACACGTTTCATTTCAATGTGCCTGTCTTTGTGTTACTGTTTTGTTTTGGGAAGATTGTGAACATAATTTTAGTTGAATCACGTCCCTGTGTCTATACATGGAGAATGATATGAGTGTCATTTTCATCTGTGTTTTGATGCATCACCATTGCATTGACTCAAGCTTAGCCAAAACAGGCTTTGAACATGTTCTCTGCGCAATCTTTTTCTAGGCTCAGTTGTGTAATCTTCAGCAAGGTAGTTTACCAAGTAAAAGTAAAATGCTCCCTAGTATTGAGGAGGCGTGGAGCCTACCAATCCCAGCAGAGCTCACCTCCAGACAGGGAGCGCTCAACACGACCCAACAGGTGAGAACAGATCAGCTAGACAAGCCTGTAGAAACCCTTGCACCATTCAATGGTTTAGACTCATAACAATGATTTGGTAGTGCTAGTTTGAACATTTTGGCATTTTAAAGGAATGTTTTGGGTACTGTACAGGTTGAGCTTGACACCATTTGTGGCATATCTACCTCAGAAATGTTTAAACAAGTTTAGTAAAGCTTTGTTTTCAAATAAATGTTCCATTTACAGTAGCATTTTTACTTTACAATGAAAATAATTCAGAGACAGGCAATAAATATACTTGAATACCTGTTTGAATAGTATAGCCAGAAAATCTTTAAATATTATATACACCATAGTTTTTTTAACTAAACATTACTTATAATATCCAGCGATTTAAAAACCAGCCAAAAATCATCATCACAGTCATCAAAAATACATCTCTGTTTTTATGAATGCCATATGCATGATGATGCACCTCTATTTTGGTTATGGATAACTGCAAGTTAATCCAACTACACAGTTTTTAAATGTATTTTGGCTGTCTGTTTTTATTTAATGGTCTAATATACAGTAGTCAACATTTGAAGTGGCTGAAAATCTTTCATGAAGTCATTAACACCCATTTTTGAAAAACTTTTTTGATCGTCTTCAAGTGTTGACTACTGTATTATGGGTCACCACATACACACCACTAATGACATTTTGTGGGTATGTAGTTTTTGTTTAGCAAGTACATTCTTTTAAAAATATACTTAAAAGTATAATTAAAAATATAAAGATTGGACAGTTTACATGTTTTTCATGATTTTAATCAAGTAAATTGGACCATTGCTAATCAGCACAGACTTTCGAAAACCACAGATTTATAAATACAATCAGTTATGTAACCAATGTTGTCCATTGATCCTAACTTGTCAATCCCGTAACATTCCTTTAATGAAACCTCAAAGTGTGTGGTTAAGGCCTGACTTCATGATTAAGTACCTTTTAAAAGGTCCTTAATTCCCAGTCATGCAGAACAATGTTATTGATAACATTGATTCTGGAGAATAATCTTAAACTGTTAAGGTTTAAAGTTATTTCCTCCAGTTCATTAGACCATAGCACTCATCAGCACACATCATCCTTTGTTTCAACATACTGCTCACTAATTTTGGGGGACCATTTAAATATAGTACTTATTTATATGTACATCATATATTTAACACACATATTTGAATGAGAATTGTGGCATATGCTTTCTCTTGTCTTGTCCTTTTGCATCTTTTATTAGGGAGCTGTTTGTTTGGGTGAGGTGTTGGTTCACCCCCCCAAAAAACAAAATTATGTTATTAATTAATCATCCTCATGTCTTTCCAAACTCCTGAGACCTTTGTTTTTCTTCGGAGTACAATTTATGGTATTTTAGGGAAAAACTGAGAGCTCCCTCATCCTTCATAAATGCAGCATGGTTCTGAAGGGTTTTAAAGTCCAGAAAAAAAAAAAAACCAAACGCCTTAAGTGATTCAATCTAAATATATTCAAGCTATAAGAATACTTTAGTGTGCGCATAAAACAAATATGAATTTATACAACAGTATCTTTTCCTCGGTGTCAGTATATTGTGCATGTTCATGTGCACTGCAGTGATGTATATCAGCTTTCTGTATTTAAAGCAATGCAGGGTCCCATCTTAGTTAATTTGTCAGAGGTGTGATTAACACATGAACGTGCACCTTATACTCACACTGAAGAAAAAAAACTGAATTGAGTTGTTGTTGTTTTTTGTTATGTATTCTTTAAAGTATTCTCGTAGGTTAGTAAGATTTTACATTTTTACCTCTGAAGGTACATGGTCAGTTTTGAGGATGTTTTGGGTATTTTTCTGGACTTTAAAACCTTCCAGAAACCTGCCTGACTACGGAGGATAAGGGAGCTCTCATATTTCACCTAAATGTCTTCATTTGAGTTCTGAAGGCAGATGAAGGCCTTTAATTGGGAACAACAAGATTGAGTAACAACAGAATTTTTATTTTTGGGTGAACTTGCACCAAGTCAGAATTGATGTTTGTCCTCAAGCAGTATTAAAAAGAAACTAATTAGATTACTAAAGTTAAGTGTTCATGCAAGCTGCAATTCTGTATCTGTTGCCTATAGCAAACCACCTGCAAAGCTCATCAGAGCAATGAAGCCCAGTCTCAAATCCCAAGCCAGTCTCTTCCTCCTCATGTGCTCTCTGGCCAGACAGAAGACCAGTCCAGCCCGGCCAAGAAAAAGAGGACCACTAGTCCAGCCAGGGTACTGAAGAACAACTTTTATGTTAGTTCAATCTGTTACATATCAAGAATTGGTTAATTATTTATCGCTTTCTGGTCTTAACCTCAGAATTCATCAGATTCCTGGACAAATGATCCAGGTCATCATCAGATCTCCAACTGGAGTTTAACCCCACAGAAACTTCAGGTTGGTAGATACAATTTTATTGCTATTTCTGGCTGTTGCTCATCTGTAAAATTTTAGTGCTTTATGTATGTTGCTGGTGAATAAAGCTGCATTTGTTTGATCTAAAAACAGTGTGAAATATTGGTTACGTTTGAAATAACTTTATTCTTTTCGACTATTTAAAAATGTATATGTATTTCTGTGATCCAAAATATATTTTCTAGTCTTTGGTGTCACATGATCCTTCAGAAAATTAAAACTTTCTGCTCAAAAACGCTCATACATATCTTTATTTATTCATTTTTTGAACGGCTTATCAAAGTTATTGATACTTAATATTTTTGTGAAAATCATAATGCATCAAAAGTTTAGGATATATAAGAATTAACATTTTCCTGAATTAGTGCTTTTTATTGTATAAATGCATGTTTAGCTGGTTGAGCATGCCATTTGTCATTGTTTCTAAAGGTTTCCAGTAAAAAAAAAAGAAAAAAATCTTTTGCAGAACATCAGTTTTGAAAAATGTAATAAGAAATATTACCAGGTCAGCATATTAAAAGGATTTCTGAGAGATCATCTGGCACTGGAACTAATGGTGATGGAAATTCTGCTTTGCCATTAGAGGAATTAATTACATTTTGAAATATTTGAAAAACGAAATTGCTTTTGAAAATTATAAGTGCTTTGGTGAGCCTAACTATTCAAAACTTTTGACTTGGTGTACTTATGTAAAAGCACATTATATTAGATCTAGAGGCAAGCACACATTTTATCGTATGGTTTATCCAGCTCCTGGAACAGTTACGGAACAACAGAGCCAATCTGAAGCCAGTGCAGCTGCAGATGCTGGAACAGTTGGAAAAGCAACTGAGTCTAATGCAACAGAATCAACAGGTAAGGATCATAATTTGTGGCTTGAAACATAAGAAGGTCTGTAAGAAGCTATAAAAGAATTCAAATCATCATTGGTCTCTCTTGCCTTTTAATACACTTGAAGATGTCTTGCCTAAAACTCTTGCTTTCTCCAACAGACAAGGCTGAATGCCATGGGTCAGATACGACCCAGTGTGTCCAACGGTCCTGTAGCCGACTCTTCACTGCCTACAAACTCTAATTCCACACCTTCCCCTCACCATCCACACATCGCTCTGTCTCGCACACCCTCTGCCCTCACACGATGCGCTGCTCAGCCAATAGCCAACGGACCTGTCCCTGCGAGCCCCGTCCCATGCAGCACCGCTGGTACCCTGGGTAACACAGATGCCGTCTCTGTGGGCAATAATCATCTCCCAGGATCGGGGAGCAACGGAAATGTGCCTTACTTGCGGCAAAACGCACTACCTCATAACTGCACAACCCCCACCAGCAGCAGCATGGATGATGAACAGTGGAAAAGCCAACACATCAACTCCACTCAGGTGAGATTTGATCATAAGATCATATTTCTTGTCATGTTATGACTGATATACAAGTCTAAGGATGTCCCGATCAGGTTCTTTTTTTGCACTTTAGTCAGAGTCATTTTATTTCGAGTATCTACTGAAACCGAAACCTGATCCGCTACTTCTGTAATGCATAAAAAAAAGGATAAAGAAGAGCGAAGAAACAAATCTAGGATGTTCCTTATTTTTTATTTAATTCACCTTATTTTAACATTTAAAAACTCTGTTAACAAACAGAGCAGTTCTGTGAGGTAGCTTAAACAATTAAGTAATAAATAACATCAATTATTCACTTTTGGACTTCGCTTCAAGCTAAGCCTAACTATAGATGTGTTAAAAAAAATGATGTGTGTGTGTGTGTGTGTGTGTGTGTGTGTGTGTGTATACACACACATACATACACATATACACACAGGATTCCCGCTGGGTCTTAAAGTCTAAAATTTAAAATTCGAAATTTAAGGCCTTAAAAAGTGTAAATTCGCAGTTCTAGGTCTTATATTTTTGCACAGGTTTTATTTTTGCGATGTCCATGTAATGCTACATCTAATGATTATTTAAATTCTTTTTTATTGCTGTTGCTAGGTTTTATGGTGTTGTACTTCTTTATTTCAGTATTTCAATTGTAATTTGCGGTATTACAACTACAAAAAGGTCAACTTGCAATAGCCAATCAGCTATCTGTTATTAAAGTCAGTGCACGTGGCGAATGTTGCTTCATCGCTTTGTTTGCGGAAGTTCTCTTTAAGTGCGTGCGATATGATTTTTACATGATGCCGTTATTTCACTGCTGTTATTTTCACTGTCGTGTAAGAGAGAGAGGGAGAGGTGCTTCTCTCTCTCTCTCTCTCTCTCTCTCTCTCTCTAACATTTTTTTGTGACGCTGTCTGAGCCTTACGTCATACATTTTTTTTATTACGCCGGTAATACCGGATACTGGGGTAAAATAAGGAGGAGGGTTGACGGTATCAAAATTTGGATACCGCCCAGGCCTAGACTAATTCACTTTATTTTAGTTGCCATGATAAAATGGGATTGATAGGAACATTTATTTGAAGAGTGAATAGTACAGTAGGCTATTATACCTTATCAAGTTTTAACCTATTTTCTATTAGTTACATTTCTGCATTTGTTATATTTACATGTTTTTTTAATTTTTATTTTATTAGTATGGTGCTCCTATTGGATTTTTAATAAATGTTTTTAAAAATAAAACTATTCTTGGTGTCTTTAAGTGTTTGAAACTGGAAATATCTCATATAACACACAGCCAAAAATGTTATGATTTTTTAGATAAAAAATGTAAAATGTAAATCTATTTTAGTAATTTAAATATTGGTAAGTAATAGTGTACTAATATAAATCATATCAAAAAGCATGAAAGGAAGAGGGAACAGTGTACTAAGACCAATGACCAATAATTCTTGGCTAGAAATTGATACAGCTATGGGAAAGGAGGAAAGTTTTTGTAAAAGTTTGGAAAAACCTGAGAAGTTTGTTAAAACAAACAAAAAAAAATAGGCCCCCACAAACATCTTCAATGATAATGATTGTTTTTATTCGTCTGATTTTACTGTCTGTTTCTTTTGACCACCCCTGTCATTTAAAAAAATATCTCAATGGCAAACGCTTCAAGTATAAAAGCCTCATCCGTTTCGTGATGTGCGCAATGCGGTGCCATGTGAAAGTATAAATCAGCATTAAGATGTTTGTTTATTTGTTTTTTTCAATGGTGCATTTAACCTGTCTTTAGTACTGTTCAATTTAAATACATTTATTTTACCCCTTATTTTGTGAATTTACATTTTCTCGTGTCTTTTTGGTATTTCGATATAGGTCTTAAAGTCTTAAATTTGACATTATAGTATCTGCAGAAACCCTATGTATGTATATAGGGATGTAATGTAAACTGCTGAAAAGAGCCACGACTGTCCTGTGTAATGAAAAGACGGCCACCCTGTCACTCATCATGCCCAACATGAAGACAGCCATCCATAAAAACCTCTCAGACAGATACACATAAGTTCAGGATTATCTTATAGAATAGCTGATTACCTGGAAATGTGGATTTTTTTTGCACACACAAAAAACGCAAGTGACCAAGCAAAGCCTTAAGCTCTTACTGTTAAATTCAATTGATGAGAAAAAAAAGCTTATTTTTTTGCACCTTTACTTAAATTGTTCCTTAATTTTGTCTCTGTCATTTCAATAATAATTTTTAAGAAGTTTTTAAATTGTTTTATTTTCCAGAGACAGGCCTGTTTAAAATATTTTCTAAAAGAAGGTTCAGTTTAACAAGTTGAAACAAAAGAAATACATAAAAAATAGTTTACTTGGTAAAATTTGCATTTCAGTTAAATTTTCAATTTTTATTCCAAATATCGTGATACATATCGAATCGTGAACATTATATCGTGATACACATCGTATCGTGAGCTGAGTGTATCGTTACACCCCTTGGTCTCACTTTACAGTAAGGTTTCATTAGTTAATGTTAGTTTTTATTTTAACTAATGTGAATTAAAAAAAGAACAACTTGAACATTTATAAAGCATAGTTTAACAATTGAACTAAAATCCAAATTCATGCTTGTTAACGTTAGTTAATGCACTGAGATAACATGAACTAATAATGACCAACTTTATTTTCATTAACATTAATGAAGACAAATGAATTCTGTAATGGATTGTTCATTGTTTGTTCATGTTAGTAAATACATGAAAACAACCTTAATGTAAAGTGTTACGTTTTTGTTGAACAGAAGTACTGTAATGATAGTAATATTATGCAATATTATTGCAATTCAAAATAACACTTATGATTTATTTTAAAATGTAATATTTGTAACAGCAACGATGAGTTTTGAGCAGACATTACTCTATTTAATTAAAAAAACGATCCTAAGACATTCAGGCCTTGGTATTCAAGAACCAATTATTTTAATTTTAAAGGCTACTTTTGCTGAATTCAGACTGTATGATTTTGAAAGTAGTCATGTCAGATGTTTTCACACTGCATGACTATCTGGGCCAGCGTTTTGTCGCTGCTTTGTTTACACTGCAAGATGGATAGGCGACAGGGGCTTTCACATTGCATGACTTTACAATAGGAAGAGTCGCCGACAACTTCATCCAAATCACGTCTCACAGCCAAAAACACGTAGTATATCTTGTTATTAACTACATAATGAGAAAGCAGCCTTTAATGTGGTAGAAAATGTACATATTTGCTCACCTGGGTTTGAAGGGAATTAGCAATTTCTCCTCAACTTTTCTTTTTTAACTTTCTATATGAAACGTCAAACAGACATGGGTGCTCCTGTCAAACCTCCACTAGTTTTTTCCTCCATTTCTTGGTTCTAAATAAACCGAAAATGAGTGCTTTTAACTTCTCAGATCCAAGTCATATTACTAAGCCATATTTGCATGCTATTTCATACTGAATATTCAAAGCATCATGGTAAACGATATAGGAAGCACGTCACAGGTCGTCATTGTTAAAAAATGAACCAATAATTAAAAAAAATGAATAAAAAAAACAACTTCGCAGAATAGCGTTATTTACTGGTGTTGTGAAACTAAATAAATTAGTAAAAATAGTTACTATTATTATTAGTAAAACAATTATTAGTAAAAAGTCCCTTATGAAATTAAAAATAGTCACATCTATCAGTCGTTGGAAGATTTCAGTGGCTGATCAACACATCTGTGCATATAACCCATTTGTAAAATGACAAAATCTACATGCGCTTTGCGTGACTAAAATAGTTTTAAAACAGAACATTACCTGTCTAAAAGAAATACTTCAGCCATGGTGTCATCCTTCCTCAAGTGTGCAAAACTAATTCCAATATTGATTCACCATTTGTTTTTACCAGTCACTCTCTCTCTCGTGTCCATATCATTAACACAAGACGTATGCACTCTCAAATGGCTGATCTGCATGAACGGCTGCAGATGTACAAATCTACATTTGCTGACAGACAGTTTGGGCTGCTTATCAAAATTATGGAAAATGTCTGCCTGATAATATACAATTGGAGGAACATTTTTTTAGTCTTGTGCCTTGCCCAGAATATACAAATGCATTTAGATCATTTACTTTAATCATTACTATTGGAATGTGAAGAACTATTACTAGTACTATTGGTGTGAAGAAGAATGTTTCTGAAGACAATCACCATTAACCATTAGTGTTTAATTATTAACCCTAATATATATTGTTTTTCAAGATTTCTAAACAGAAGATTAGCACTTGAGTCTTTTTTTATGTATTTATTTTTATTAAGTAGTTTTCATACATAAGTGACAAATGCTTTCGTCATTCTTTATCACAGGGGCTTCAGAAAAGTCCAGGTTCATATTCAGCAGGTCCTAACGGCGAGCAGCCTTTCTCTTCCACTGGGACGTCCCAGCCTTCCCCGGCAGCCGGCACTGGCGGTCCAAATCAGGTCGGACATTCGGCCACAGCCAGCGACACGCAAGCGCAGGAGGCCAGTCACAATCACCTCCCCTCCCCGAGCTCCCAGAGCTCTGCTACCTCAGGTGGACAGCAAGGCACGGTGAACACCAAAGAGAGCAAGCCTTCAGGAAACGGGCATTCCGTGGGGACGCCTAACAGCACTGCCACTGCAGAGGGACTGCCTAATCATGTCCATCAGGGCCAGGCAGACACTGCTGGGGCGAAACCCCGTTCACCAGGTGTACTTAGTTCAGACAATCCACAGCTCTCGGCCTTGTTGATTGGAAAAGCCAATGATAGTAATAATAGTAATGGAGGAGGGTCGGCGGCTGCTGGCACAAAGGTTAACAATGTTCACCCGAGTCTGCACAAGCCGCAGGAAAACTCGGTGGCTTCTTCTCCATGTTCTGCCATGTCTGCAGCTTCGCCCTCACCCAAAACTGCAGACCACCACAGTACTCAGAACAGTGTTAACAGCCTTAACAGCCCCACGCTCAACGGCAAAGGTCTGGAGGACTCTCAGAGCCCCTTGAAGGTGGCTTCTCCACTGGTTTGTCATAAACCAACGCCTCCGTCGTTCACTCTGTGGTCCTCTGTGTCCATCTACCCCAGCTCCAGTGATGTGCTCAAAGCATGCAGGTAATGTTCTTTTCCTATATTTATTCATTCAGAATTCAGACCTTCTTTATTACAGTTTTTTTGCCGTTGTTTAATTTTCTTTCTTTGCATGTAAATGAAAGATATGACACATCATCATCATCCTCTCTGCTGCTAAAATGTGTTTTTGGTTTTTCAATCCGATCACAAGTGTGAGTAACGTTAGCATCGAAGACTGGATCAAAAACATTTACGGTTTTTATTTTGCTTTTGTAGTATTGAAACAAGTGGATATGTTGTTTTTATTCATTCAGCTACAAACGACCCTTTATCCTCTTGCTAATACAAGTCTTAAACATTGCTGGACATGTTGTTGAAACTCATTAGCTAGGTTGAATTTAAAGTTGGCCATCTGAGCTTGAAAGCTTGATTTGGTAAAAACCAAGCTTGGGTGAAACGGTGTCATAAACAATGTTTTCTTATCTATATGGTGACAAACCCAGAAACTTTAGTGTAGTTCCGTGCCTGAAGCTAAAGCTGTTGCTGCTGTCATTTTGTGTTGTAATTTCATTCTGTACAATAATTGCAGAAGCTTATTTCACAATATTAGATCAAATGCATTGATCCTTCATTATACCCATCTGCTCAGAGAAATCAGGAAAGTGGATAACAAGATTGACAATGTTTACCTCATCTGTTTCTTTTAATTGTAGTTGTGGCCTATTGCAATTTCATTGATTTGATACAGTAATTTAACATTGTGATTTGGTATGTGCTTGATGTATTGTTCTGTTTTACATAAAATTGAACTGCAGAGGTGATTAGTTAATTACCTTGGTTGATTATGTTGATAGAAATATTGTTTTTATTCATATAAAATCCTCCGATCTGATCGAAAAACATGCAATATTTATATTGGCATAGATGACTGTTTGTGTGTGTGTGTGCGTGCTTGCGTGCGTGCGTGTGCGTTTGTGTGTAAAATGCACACAAATGTCTGCTCTGTGTTTGTGATTGCTTTTGATATGGCTTATATTGTAGTTAAATACATTGCTGTTCAAAAGTGGTCGGTATGTTTGTTTTTTTAAATAACCTTCTTTGGCAATGATGTAATATATTAATCAAAAGTGGTGCAAGTTAAGCGTTCTTCTTTATTTGTCAAAGAAATTTTGAAAATGTATTGTTTCTTACAAAAAATGCAGTTTCAGCTTTGCTATAATTGGAATAATTAGCATTTCAAAACATTTTTAAAAGTGAGGCCACAATTATTAGTCCTCATCTAAAATTGTAATTCTTTTAAAAATATTTCATGAGTGCTGTTTAACAGACAAGATTTTTCAACACATTTTGAAACATTAATTTTAAAAACCTATTTCTATTAACATTTTTTTTGTCTCTGCCACAATTACAGTAATTTTACAAAATGCCAATATTAAGCCTAATGTGCAGTTTAAAGGTTAAACTATGTTAATTACGCCAACTAGGCAAGTTAGGTTAATTAATTGAACTGAAGACAATTGAAAATATTAGGGGCTAGTAAAATTAATTTTAATTGTTGTTTTATTATTATTTTTTATTGAAAACCACTTTTTCAGCCAAACTAAAACAAAAGACCAGAAGAAAAAAATGTGTGGAAATTTTTCCTGCTGTAAACAACACTTGAGGAAAAAATTTAAAATGATAAAAAAAATGATTTAGCCTTTAATTGTATATTAAAGAAAACACTTATTTTGAATGAATATTTCACAGAATACATTTTTGTGAGCATAAGACAATTCCTACAAAAATATTAAAATATCTGAATATGACTCAACTTTTGAACAGAAGTGTGTACAGTAAAATTATTGTAAAATGTTTTAAGCCTTTTTTTTTGCTGTCAGTTTTTTGATCATTTATTAACATTTACATATCAAATAGTTTATTTTGTTTCTTCTCTAAACAAAACAAAGCACTACTATGCACAATCTTCACACTTGTAATTATTTAGATAATAGTTACTAAAATTTTGATCCTCTAGTACACTGTATAAAAGTGTCTGTTTCTTTAGTGTTCAGTTGTAAGTCTCTAGTGATCTGGCTTGTGGCTCCATCTGTGTCCAGAAAGTGATAGTACATGTTTACCCCGTCACATTGACAGTACATCAAAAGACACTGACTCTGTCAAATTCAGCTAGCAATCTGTCAAAATAGAATTTGGATAATATAAAAACATTAATTATACATTATTTTATGTTTTCTAAGTTGTTTAATAATATCACACCTCATTGCATATTTTGCAGAAACCTGGGGAAGAATGGTGTGTCCAATAACAGCATCTTACTAGACAAGTGTCCCCCTCCACGGTTACCACCTCCACCCATCCCTCCTCTGCCAAAGGACAAACTCAATCCTCCAACCCCTAGTATTTATGTGAGTAAACACCACTGATGTCTGACAGAGTTGCAGCCTGGATGCTCTTCTTTGACTCTTGCTAGTGTTATTGCAAATGCTATTTACAGGGCAATGTTTTGCTCACTTTTGTTGCCATAAGATGGAAATAAACTTTATGCTTGACCTTAATTTGTTCTAGCTTTATAACACCCCATTTAAAAAAAAAAAAAGTTATGAAACATTTTTTGTTTTCTCCAGTTACCTAAAGCTACTTTTTATATCTTTGGCAGTTGGAGAACAAGAGGGATGCTTTCTTTCCACCGCTGCACCAGTTCTGCACAAACACAGCCAACCCTGTAACAGTGATCCGTGGCCTGGCTGGAGCACTCAAGCTAGGTGAGAGCGTGTTTCTGAGTGCTTGCCAAAACACTGTGTACATTTGTAAGCATTGATCTGTGGTTTTGTAATTAAATTGATGGATTTTGTGGTGTATGAGCAGCTGTTTAAATGCTTGTGATGTTGTAGTTGTTGTTGTTTTTTAATGACTGAATGCTCAGTCGGGAAACATTTAACTAGTGTTGCTGCAGGGAGCTAGTTTTGACACATTTCAGGGTGACTCTGGTGTAAATGACAACAGCACCATCTGCATGCTGAAAGTGTCATTACATCAGATCTCAACCACCACAAAAAAAGAGCAGAAGCAGAATTCTTCCTAAATGGACTTTTTATGTACCTACCTGCTTTTCAAACGTCATGAATGACATGATGGAATATATCATTTGCCTTCAGAAATTGTGCTAATGGTCACCTTTCTTCCCAAAGTAGAAAAATGTTGGGGGAAATTGCCCTGAAATTTTACATTTAGCTTCTGACTGACATTGTATGCATGTTATTATGTTGTCATGGCTTATGAATGCTAGACCTGATAAGTACACTATTTTGTCAGTTTTTTTCCACATTTTACAGTTATGTCATTCATGTGTCATATGATGGTTAAATTGTTAATCATAATTAATAAGCTCAATTTGATTTAGAGAAGTATTGTACATTTTAAGTGTGTAATTGCACTTTCACAAGAGCACATATGAAGAGAATATCAGCTCATCTAGCTTCCTTACAATAGCGGGGATCAAATTGAGCAAATAGCACAGGGGTCCTCATATAGTATTACATTCTGCTAAAATAAAAGTGTACTGCAGGAAAGGCTATCAGTGAAGACTGATAATGTAGAACTAACAGAGATTAGCATTGCATTAAAGAGATTATTATGCATTATAAAAGGACTATTTTGGTTTTGGGGATCTCCCAACAACATGCTGATATGCGTGCAAGGTCAAAAAAAATTTCATTGTCCTATAATATGCATTTATTTTTACCTAATTATCCCAACGACTCCCATATGATTTGTTTAGCGATTCATTTGTTCCCAAACCCCCCTGCGTGAGGCTATTTTGCGCTGATTGGTTGAATCACTGTCTGTTGTGTGTGGTCGACTGGGTTCAGCGCGAGAAACGCCCTGTGCGCTCATGAAGTACTCAGAGTGCAGTATATGTGTGAGCTCAATGCAAGAATGCAATAAACTAATGTAGTTAAACACCAGCATATTACTCTACTCTTAAACCTAACCCCAAGTAAAATCAACGACACGCATTCAGTATTTATCCACACAGTGGCAAAAGTTGAACTATTTTGAAAATTGACCACACTAGATTTTGAGGAACAGCTAATGGTGGCTATTACAAAGACAAACGGCAGAGGATCATGAGTACAGAAATGCATTTAAATCGGTAAAGGGAGAAGCACACGTCACTTATTCAATGTGGTTTTGGACACTATGTGAATAGCAACATAAAGGTTTAACCTGACAGATACAGTACAAGCACTGATCTATAATAGATAAGTGTTTACAAGCCACATGGACAAATTACAAGTTACAACACAATACAATACATATTTTGCAAACTTCAGAGAACGAGGCAACAATTTAGTTACACTTAAATGTTATGATGCAGAGGAAGAAGAATCTGGTCCATATGAACTGTAATAATAACTGACAAAATCCCATGCATAATAGTCTCGGCTGCTCCTTCCTTTAATAGCAAACGGACGGCGAGTCCCGTGTTGTAGCGTAGGTTACTGTATCAAAAATTGGAAAAATGACAGGAACAAAAACAGCACAAAGTTGGCTGTTTATCTTATTCTTCGCCGATGAACGGGCGCTGCCATTTGAATCTTTTTGGCACAAGACTTCCGATCTTATTCACTTCCATTTATTTTTAGACATTAAAAACTGCTTGTTTCGCTGTTTGATGTTGCAAACTGATATTTTCTTATTATAATATTCTACTTGGTTTGTATAGTCATGCAAACATTTGTTTATAGAGCAAGTAGCTTGACCGTTTTCTGCCGTTTATTGTTCCTAGTCATTTCTCCCATAGGCGACTGAATCGGAAGTTCTAAAACAATCGCGACAACAGGTGCACTTCCGCATTTTAGAATAAGGTAAATACTGTGGTATTGTGAAAATGAACTTTTATATGTTTATTCCCCACAGCCGAATGTCCGTCTGTCAGTGATAGTCATCTTCGCGTCATTATCAGTCCCATGATCCCTTGTGCTCCGCTAGTGTATGAAGGGAAAGGAGCATTCATGTTTTATCAGATCCGGTACTACCTATTTGATGATGTACTGTTTCGACGTTGATGCGTTCAGACTAAAGATCCAAACCAATAAGAATCAATTAAAGAATCAATATATTTAAACACTTTCAGATTTAACCCTCAGTTGGATGTATTTATTCACTTAGTGCTGTGTTACACACTGCACAGAAGGTCATTTTCAAAAACCCTTAATAGGGGCTTTTTAAATGTTTGTCAAATTATCTCTGTCCATAGAGCACTCAAGTTTATTGTTGCCATGTTGGGAATAAATAAAAAACCAGCCAGCTAAATGTCTCTTAAGGACAAAAGCTCTCAAAGTGGGATTAAATATATTAATAAATATTATTAAATTATTAAATATATTTTCACGTTTTGTAGGTCAAATTAGCAAGCAGGTGCAATGTTTGTAAGGTTTTGAAGCCTAAAGATCAAATTCAAGAAAATGTCAGACATGCTAGTTGCATCTTTCCAACGTCTTCTATCAACCATTATCTTCTAGTTTGTATTAATGTGCTTAATGGAAGTTTTTCTGATCTCTTTTCTCCCTTGTTGCTGATACACTTTTATTGAATTAAAAATCTTGCAGAATTAAATGACACATTCTATCTCAAAACATAACTTTAAATCAAGTAAAAGAATCAACTTGTAATTGCAAATTATATTGTCTTTATAATTATTATTATTCAGTTTAAAATATTGTAATTATTCATTAGGAGTTTATACCCATTATATTCATCAATTTGGTGCGTTTCTCTTCTCTTCATGTCAGACCTTGGATTATTCTCCACCAAGACTCTGGTTGAGGCTAACCCAGAGCACCTTGTGGAGGTGAGGACTCAGTTGTCTCAGCCCACCGATGAGAACTGGGATGTGACAGGGAGCAGGAAGATGTGGCGGTGTGAGAGCAGTCGGTCTCACACCACCATTGCCAGATATGCTCAATACCAGGCCTCATCTTTCCAGGAATCATTGCGGGTGAGTCAATGTCATCAATCATTCAAAGAAAAAAAATTGCTGCAGTGTTAAATTGTAGGGCGATTCACTTATAATTTTATTAGTATCACAGGTTTGGCATAGCTTAAGGTGCCCGTGTTGTAACAATTAGCTCATTCCTGTTAATTTACTTCGAGTATGGCCAGTATGTCAACAATATACATTTTTTTTCTCGTGTCAGGAGTTTGAGTATGCATGTTTTTCTTTCTGTCAATCACTTTGAGAGTTTAATTTTACTGAAACAAAGGTAAATTAGTAGCTTCTGAAACAGTCTAGAGATTACTAAAAAATGCCATTAATACTATGAAAAAGTGCATGATTAGTGCTTTGTTTTGTTGTGGTACATTCATTAGGAGGAAAATGAAAAGAAAGGACAGAAAGACCACTCGGATACGGAGTCTGCTCCATCAGAAAAGTAAGTTCTTGTTCAATTAAATACCTTGTGTTTCTGACAGGACCATAGTCTTTAACTGGAACCTATGTTTTTTTTCAGTGTGGTGCGGAGAAGAAGAGGTCCCTTTAAGCACATCAAATTTGGAACCAACATTGATTTGTCAGATGAGAAAAAGTAAGCGCTCAGTGTTTTCATTTTTCATCAGTTTTTTATTGAACCTTTTTCTTTATTGAACCTAGTCCAGTTGCTGTGCAAAAGTGAATTTATTTGTAAAAAAAAAAAAAGCAGTGTATTTTCTGTTGGAAGTACTAGATTAGATTAATTCATTTGTAGCAGGGTTTCTCTAAGTCTCAAGGGTTTTTTCTCACATTTACACAATTTGAGCCCTTAGAGTTTTAAAGTAGTTTTAAATTCTGCAAAAATATATATATTCTCTGTTTTATTTTCCCAATACAAGCATTTAAACATCATTAAACTAAGACAAATGGAAAGATTAGTACTAGATTTTTTGAGAAATAGAAAACAAAATAGGAAATTTGTCGGTCTGTGATGCATTTCATGTAATATTGCATCTTTAAATAAAAATCCAGATAAAGAACCCAACATTTTTACAGCGTGATCAGAAGGTATTGGCAAATTATTTTCACATTGGCTTGTTTGGGAGCAGAGTTATTCTCAACCTATTTTTTGTTATATATTTTTTTACTGAACTATTAATTAAAGTAATTTCATGGGTATATTAGAGTTGTATTTTCAAACTTTAAAGTGTTGCTCCTATAAACCATTGTGTGGTCCCCAATTTACATTTAAGAACATGTTGGCTTATTCCCTTAAAAAATGTCATTCTTGGTGTTAAAAAAAACCTGCAGCTTGTTCTAGGCATTGACGGTCACAAAACAAAATCAGAAATGTTATCTGGCATAAAAAATTGTAATCTTTTGAACACTTAATTTTCTAATGGATCATTTTTCATTATAGAAGCAATAAACCACTCAAGTGCATGATTTACAGTGAATTATTTTTTTATACCATGGTGAAAAGGGCACTCTACTTCATGATGTGCTTAATAGCACTGTTTAGCAGTAATAAAATCACTCTAATGCATGCCTCATGCGGTTTAGTGCTTCATCAGGATGCTCTTGAGAGTTTCATTCAAGTCTGAAGCAGGTTTGCAAAGTAAATGTCAGTCTTCAGACCTCTTGCAGTGAACAGACAGAGTTGATGGAACAGGAAGGCATGTTAGGTCGTCTCATCTGACCTCCGTCCTGTGGCTTTGCAGGTGGAAGCTGCAGCTGGCTGAGTTGAGTAAACTGCCTGCCTTCGCACGGGTGGTGTCTGCAGGGAATCTGCTCAGTCATGTGGGCCACACAATTCTCGGCATGAACACAGTCCAGCTCTATATGAAGGTCCCGGGCAGCAGGACACCAGGTCAGCTTTTTGGCTCGCAAGCACTGACACGTGCTCTACTAGCGACATTAATGAAACTCAAAAAAAAAAAAATGTCTTTAATCTTTTCAGGTCATCAAGAAAACAACAACTTCTGCTCTGTGAACATAAACATTGGCCCTGGAGATTGTGAATGGTTTGCCGTTCCTGAGCCGTACTGGGGTGTCATGAATGATTTCTGTGAAAAGTAAGCAGTCTGCCTGTCTATTTGATACTTCTAAAACACCGTCAATTTAATATCAAATATTTTTTTCTCAGAAATATCAATACCAATAAAGAATCCTCAATAGGAATGATTAAAATGTATTAGTTTAGAAAAAGAAAACATAGAAATAGAAGTTGTTTAAACTTGCAATTTTGTATATTGCGTCTTTTTTTGTTTCAAATGTACTGACAATTGTCACTTTAGTTGTTGTTTTTTTAAAGCTGAGTTTACAAATGACATGGTTTTTGTTTGTCTGTTATTTTCTCAGATATTATTGTATTTTCAAACTCATTAGAGGCAAAGGGACAGATTACCTAACAGCTTGCACCAACACAAATTACATTTTCCCCCCATTAAAGATGACTCTGAGCTCCAGAGAACAGTGCACATCGGACAGTTTATCAAGGATGTGAAAATAAATGTGATATGTGATATTTAATTCATCTGGTCTCTATCTAACGTCTTGTAAGTTACTTAGTAATTTTAGTGAAAACCTCAGGTACTGTTGGTTGTGCACCTTTTTTACCAACGAACCTCCTGCAGAAAAAGTGATTGACGGGGTAATTTGTGTGCAACTTATCTTTATTCGTTTATAATTTGTTTATAGGTAAAATAAAGACCATGCGGGTCAGGTAGTTGAAACGGTAGGCTACGAATAAATAATTTGTTAAGAATAAATTAATTATTCATAAATAATGAATTCACCTCCGCCAATGACATCGATGCCATCGTCCATCACAATGTTTCACATTAGACATCGTACGATACCAAATTGATCGACATCGCCCAACCCTAGGTGAAGTGTCTCTTTAAATTTATATTACTATTTTTTCTTTTTTGAGTTCTGTCAATACATCACATGGTTAGTAATTTAATCAATGTATCGATCTACATGAGCTGTATACACACAGACATTAAATTTCAGCCAGCCAGCCCCAAGGCGTCCGGTAAATTGTCATGCCATACAAAATCGCTGTTTGTTTTTTGTGTGTGTTTTGTAATTTCTTTAAACACGGATATCACTAACTGGCTGACATACGATATAAAGTGGGTATCAGACCAAACAAGAAGCACTGCATTAATTATATCTTTTCATGTCTTTAAAATATGGAAATTCATTTTACTCCAGTATTTTCAAATGTGTTTCTGTGCTAACCTGCGCCTAATGACTGCACATGCGTTTAAACAGTCTTTCGCCTCTTTTACTCTTTAACAACTAAATAAATGCTCAAGTCTATTTAACTGATTATATGTGAATTGCATTACAACATCAATGCTGTAAAAGGAACTTGATGAAATTGAAAATATTCACATAAACCTTTCACCAGAAGTTCATCATTGGCTGAAAAACACTAGCTGTGCAGATACATTAATACAGGGGTCTCAAACTCAATTTAACTGGGGGCCGCAGGAGGCAAAGTCTGGGTGAGGCTGGGCTGCATAAGGGATTTCACAAAAAAAGTCCTCAAATGTCATTATTAACAGTTTTAATTATTTCTTCTGAACATGAAGTGTCCTGAACATTAATAACACATTGAGTGAAGATTATGAACAGTTCTTCTGAACATGGCATCTTTTGCCTATTTCTTGCTGCCAGAGACTTGACAGCGCTTCTTCTCACAAATCTGAACCACATCTGGCTTTAGAGCGGAAGCAGTTGAGACCCTCAGTATGGCTTGAAGATGATCATCATTAAGTCTAGACCTGTACTTTGACTTATTGAAGTCCTGGGAAAAAAGTGGGGGAACTCACTCAAAACTTCCATTCCCTCACCTAAAAAAAAGGTGTATATATTTATAAATAAAACACCCCCACCCCACTCCAGTCACATCAGTCTGTACCAGTCTGTATCTACCTATGATATATATAAGATGCAGGGCAGGCACATGCACACATAGGGCTCAACCTGTGCAGAGCACATGCCCTTTTTAGTCTTGCATAGAAAGTGCCCCCGCGACGCGACACACCCTCGGTCCCGCCCTTCAGTAGGCGCGCGATAACACCGCTCTTGAGTACACGCGCGACAACACAGCTGATGAGAACGCGCGCGACAACACGGCGGGCGGGGAATGCCAGTGACCGCTGTGTACGGATAGAATCAGCGGAGCGGGGAGCGCTCTCTCTCCCCACTCCGCTGATTCTGTCAGTGTACATCGGTTGGCGCGGGCCACAAAATATTGCACTGAGGGCCGCGAGTTTGAGACCCTTGCATTAATAGATTATTGATTTATCTTTACATCCCTTGCAGGTATTTTACAGATGTTCATGTCCAGTAGTGTACTTTTTTATTCCAACCGTAAACAAAGAAGAGTTGTTCTTTTTTATTTTCCAATTGTAAACAACAACCTTTGTCAGTTTTGACAACAGAATTAATAGTTTAAAAGTGAGGTTGTGAGATGCTCATGCTGATTTTCATGTATTCTTTATGCAGGAATAATATTAATTATCTAATGGGATCTTGGTGGCCAAATCTTGAGGACTTGTATGAGGCAAATGTTCCAGTGTATCGCTTTATCCAGCGACCAGGTGATCTGGTCTGGCTCAATACAGGGACTGTGCATTGGGTTCAGGCTATTGGCTGGTGCAACAACATTGCCTGGAACGTAGGACCACTCACTGGTAAATATATCAAGATTTGTATCATTGCTGTTGGACCAACAGATCTAGAATCTGGTGAGCTGCCTAAGACCTGTTGTTCCTACATAAGCTGTTGTATTTTACGGCATCTGAACGAGGGGTGGTCAAACTTGGTCCTGGACAGCTGATGTCCTGCAGATTTTAGCTTCAACGTTCCTCAACACACCTGCAAGGATGTTTCTGGAAAGCCTAGTAAGAGCTTGATTAGCTAGCCCAGGTCTGTCAGATTGGGGTAGGAAGTACCGAGTTTGGACACCCCTGGTCTGAACCATCATGCCATGTCTGGAGTAAGGGTGTTTTTTTTTTATGAGTTTTTAAATAATTATTATAATAATTTTTTTTTATAAAAACTAATTGGCAGTCTAATCACAAAAACAAAGTACTGTACTTTACTGTACTGAACCACATCAATATAAAGCCAAACATTTATTATAAGTTATTTATTATAATTCTTACAGCCATCTTTTCTCTTGCTTTTGTCTGCCGCCTTAAATATATATTTTTTCATTTTTTCAAGTTGAAGGATTGCAGACTGTTCAACCTTACAATCTGGCTAACTAGGAAGAATAATTTTTCTAATTGCATTTTGTCATAGCCTTCAGGTCTGCCAGTGCGCCTTAACTTCTGCCTATAATACTGTCTATTTTCCATTTAATAAAAGCCCATCTGTCAAAACAAAACAAAAACAGCTGCTATTTTATTAAGCAGCTTGGCTTTGCGATACTTGAATTTGATGTTTTTCTTTGTGTCTTTTACATCCTTTATTCTGCAAAACTCAAGGTTATTCATTCATTTTATGTCTTTTATAATTTTTGTAGTTTTTTTAATTGTTCAACATTGCATTGTTAAGATGGCCACTCATGTCATCAAATAAAAATAAAACACAAATTAACGTGTAGCTTATTTTGTCTCTCTGTGATATAAAATAAATATCTTAAAGATTAAAGTTAAGAAATGTATTGAGTTAACTAATAGTAACTAAAACTAGCTAATAGTTTTATGTAGTTAATTAAACATTAGAACACAGTATTGCATTTTTCCCCACCGACAAAAATAGCCTAAACCAGCATAGGTAAATAACAGAAGCACACATGAAGCAAAATATAATTGTCGTCATTATAAAAAAAAGATATATTAAAGAATATTGCATAATTGTTTTTCTTTTTTTCCATGTACTCGAACTGGAGTTGAACGATAAACATTGTGAAAGGCACTATACAAAAACTTTTAATTTAAATGCGGCTCATCTATTTTGCTGTAGTTTCTAATCGTGTTGGTCCTTCCTCAGTGCATCAGTACAAGCTAGCGGTGGAGCGCTATGAGTGGAACAAACTCCAGAGTGTCAAATCCATCGTTCCCATGATTCACCTCTCCTGGAATATGGCCAGAAACATCAAAGTGTCAGACCACAAGCTCTTTGAGATGATCAAGTGAGTCTGCGGCACCACATTTGCCATTTGATCAGTCACAGTGATGCAGTATGCCGTGACTGAAATTTCAAGCAGTTTATTGGAAGTTTTAAATAAGGTATGCATGCTCCTCCTCTTCCCGTTCAGGTACTGTTTATTGAGGACACTAAAGCAGTGTCAGATGCTGAGGGAGGCTCTCATAGCTGCTGGAAAAGAGCTTGTTTGGCATGGAAGGACCAAGGACGAACCTGCTCACTACTGTAGCATCTGTGAGGTGTGCATTTTCATTTCTTTTCCAGATTTAAATGTCTAGTCATGAAAAGTTTTGAATAATATGCCAAGTTGGACTGAGTTGTCTTGCTAAGGAGAACACAATTCAGTATTGTTAACTGTCTGTGTAGCTGGTTTTCTGTTCAGACAGTGTTACAAGTTCAACTACCAAATTGAGTCTCTCTTCTGTCTTATTGTACTCGAGTGGATAAAACGAATTGTATTTTTTTATTTGGGGGTGTCTAATCTTAACAATTTTGTAAACTTAATTTTGTAAACTTAAAGTTTTGTAAATCTATAATTAAAACCTAATAAGTATTTAATTCAACTGCTAATTAATTATTTTAGCTTGTTTGTATTTATGGTATGTTTGCTTTTCTTTTCTTTTTTGCATTTCCACAAACTTTCTAGCACCCCCTTGTGGCACCCTTGAGGTTTTTTATGAAATGCCTGATTTTTGAAATACTTCTGGCCCCCAACAAGATCCACTCATAGTTATGCATTTGGCCATGAGATTTGAATTTAATCATATCATAGACAAATGTTACTCTCAGGGGTCTCATTATCAAATATCATGATATTTCATAACAGTTAACCCTGTAAAAAAATCACCAAAATTAACCAAAAAGAAAAATACTTGAAATTGCTCTTTAAATGTATTGCGTAAAATTATATTTTTTACATTTATTTGCATGAATTGTTTTAGCAGATGCTTTTATCCAAAGCAGCTTACTGGTGAGGATAAAATGAAGCATTTTGAATCATCAGAGAGTAGCAGTATGCTATAAAATGCTGACAAGTCTAAGTTTGATTAAAAAAATATTGTAAAGTTAGTAGTTTTAAAGATTTTGTTTTTCTTTTTTTCTTTTTTTTTGTTTCTTCAATCATACAGAGGGGATTGTGTCCTAAAGATGGTTTGTCAAGCCCACTCACCTGTGTAAAGCACACTCAGAATTTAACTATTTCCATAAAGTATAGAAACCAGCATTATTTTATTTTCTATTGTCATTTGTTAGTTTAAAATAAAGTTAAAGTCATGGCTATGATATTAAATCCAGATGACCGATCCAGAACTTTTAATCTTGAAATTTATCATAATTTTTAAACAGTTAACAAATATTTTTACATTTCTGCGAACTCAATTACAATTTTGGTAGGTGGACATTTTATTTTATGCAAATTTTAACAATCTAGACTCAAAGTGTAAAGCACTTGACACAAAAGCAGTAAAGGCGTCTCTGAATCCACTTGCTATTTAAAGGACAGAAAAATACGCTCTGCGCCGCCACACATGGTCTAACAGGGTTGTGTTTATTCTCTTAATGAGTTATGGGTGTGTTTTGATTTTAACCAATCAGTCTCATCTCCCGTTCCTTTAAGAATCAGTTGCGTCATTTGCTGTTTACATTGCACACTTTAAGTGTAAAAGCTGAACGGTTCATTACATGAGAAAACTGTTAAACAGACCATCTGCAGTGCGAGGATAAAGAATGAATCTCCTCCATTTGGCCTCCTCTTTTTCTCTTTCTCGGATAAGGAAATGGTGTTTTTACGCACACTACTGAAGACATCTATTAGCCTAAATATTTAATTTTGTTGGTTAATCACAAAGATTTGTTTCAAAACTATTTCTAAATTCAGTTCTAATTTCTAGTAAAGGCACCCGTCTCTAAATGTAAAAAGCTGTGAACTACAACCTTTAAGTGTTTTTATTTGTTAAAATTGATCATGACATGTACAGTGTCTAGCGTTAACGATATGCTGTAGCAACGATGTAAACAATGGCAAATGCTGGTTTGCGGGCAAAAAATTTAGCTACAAATTCATATTTATCAGTCAAACTGCTGTAAACACACACACACTCCACCAAGCACGTTCGTGTCTCTTATGTGTGTGCCTGACTGCATTGATTGTCTCAGATAATGAAGTCGCAAAAGATATGTGAATGATTTATATTACTTACACCTGCATATTCCGGATATATGTGATAGACGTCGTGTAACACTTAGAGTTAAAAAAAAAAATACAGGATAGCTCACCTGACTCGTGGTAGCAGCAGAATAATAAATCAAGGCTCACACAGATCGCATCCCACATCTTGTGCTTTATTCTTCTGTCACGATATATTACAGAAAATAACTTAATCCGAGCATCAGAGAAAAATAAAGTCCTGCGCACATGCGCTTGTTACAGACATTCTCACACACACACACACACACACACACACACACACACACACACACACACATAGACGCAGACAACGTTCACACACAACACACATAGATGCGCACACAATGGCAAACACTCTTAGTCGCACCCCCTTTTCACACATTACAGACACTTGTCAGATTTTATTTTAGAGAGCAGGCAGAATGTTGACTGATTGTTTACACAGCAGAAAAGCGCGTGCTTTTACGGGCGTGACGTGAAGCCGATCTGCAAATCGGCGCACATTATGACGATGACCAATCAGTCACTTAAGGGCGGGCCTTTCAGAGGAACTAGGAAATTTGACAGTCGTTTTCATGTTAGATAAGTAGCTGTGTATAATCAAAGTGAGATATATGAAAAAATAACGCGATTTCCTTCAAGTGAAACATGAGCACACATTGCTTTGCATCTTATAAACACAACCAAGCCTTAAAATTACATTTTGTACCACGCCTTTAATTCTTTTTTATTTGTAAAGATATTTCAGTATTGCTGTGCAGCCTGCGTTTTTGTTTTTTTGTTTTTTAAGGAATGTGTAAACTGCTTTTAGCTGGTCACTTGTGCAGTCTATTTTAGTTTCTCAAAATAGCAACGCGCCAACAATGCGCCTTAAAACACCTCTTTTCCCATGAGTCCACAAAGTGGCGCAAATGGATTTGTTATTTAAACAACGTGGCTGAAAACGGGAAAATTTTGGTGGCACTGGTCTGAAAATTTCCCTTCATTTTAATTGTTTTACCCATTTTATTTGATTGGGTCTTGTCAATCCATGCATACTTCATTTATTAATTTTGAAAAATATGTTTTCTGTGTGTGTACAGGTGGAGGTCTTTGATCTGCTGTTTGTCACCAGTGAAAGTAACTCAAGAAAGACGTATGTGGTTCACTGCCAGGGCTGCGCTCGCAGATGTAGCCCTAACCTGGACAACTTTGTGGTTTTAGAACAGTACAAAATAGACGACCTCATGCAAGTGTACGACCAGTTCACATTAGTAAGTCTTGAACCCCTAACGTTCACCTGAATCTTTTTATGACTAATGGTCTCAGGTAACAAAAACTGATCACAATTAATACGTTTCTGTTCTCTCTCTCCACAGGCTCCACCTCTGCCCTCCTCCTCCTCATCTTGACGTTAACATTAATGGTTCTTCGGATAAAACCCTGGAACGCAACGCATCCCTTTCTGATATTCAGGAGACCTGACCCAGTTCCACACCACTGGTTTCTGTAGCAAACCCCACAAGACTGCTGCTTCTAAGCTGTTTTGTCTATGCAACCTTGCCAAGTTTGGAGATTCGGACCTTCTCCATCTTCAGGACTGTTTCAGCTTGTTCAGCACCACTTCTCTCTGAAACACAAACTACAAATAGACTAAATGCTGAAGAAAAATGGTTTTGTGTATATACCACAAATTGCAAATCACTCAAAACTACTGACTTTTCTTTTTTTATTTTACTGTTGCTTTAATCCTCTCATTTTTTCCCCTTTTTGTTTGTTTTTTCTTTTTCTGTACTTCATGTACAAGCTGATACATGATCATTTTCTTATTTCCTCTTGAGTACAACCATAGCCGAGCTTTTTTTTGTTCAATGTTTTCTTTAGGTAACAAAAGAGAAATTTGTAATGTGAATTTTTTTTTTCTTTTTAAAATGCTTTTTTTCTTGTCTTTATTGGGGGGAAATGTTAAGTTGTGGGGTAGCGAAGTCACAAAGAAAAATGGGTTGCACATAGACTAAGGAATAAACTTTTTAATTTGTGTTTTTTTGTGTTATATTTCTAATCTTGTTGTAAATTTACACTATTTATAAATATTTATTGCTTGGAAATATTTGTTGATGGAATGCTGTTATTTTTTTCCAGAGTTCCTGCCATTAAATTTTATGGAGTAATGTCATTTTGAACATTTCTCTTTTTACATTTTCTATACATGAATAAAACTGCTTAGCGAGCATTGTACAGAAACATGAAGATTGATATGGTTTATGGGTTACTAATCAGAGTTGTCTTTGTAATTAAAATATTCTCCTTTTGTGATGAAATTCTTTGTCTTGGGCTGAATTATAATAATTGTGCTTTAAATTATTATTCTGTTTTCTTCCTTAAGGATTGTATTTTGGCTGTGCATTTAATAAGAAAAACATCATTCATTGATTATACTATGATTGTACACTACCTGACAAAAGTCTTGTTTTCGATCCCAGGAAGTTACAACTTGACATCTAGTTGATCATTTAGAAAAGTGGCAGAAGTTAGATTTATCAGATGAAGCATTTGTTGAACTGCATCCCAATCATCACAAATACTGCAGAATACCTATTGGATCCCAAATGGACCCACGATTCATAGATACCAGTCAAGTTTGATGAAAAAAAAGATCATGGTTTGGGGTTACATTCAGTATGGTGTTGTGCAGGAGATCTGCAGAGTGGATAACATCAACAGCCTTAGATATCGACATTTGTGCTGCCCATTACTTTACAAACCACAGGAGAGGACACATTTTTCAGCAGGATAGCACTGCTTCTCATACTTCAGCCTCCTTATCAAAGTTCCTGAAAGCAAAGAAGGTCAAGATGCTCCATAATTGGCCAGCCCAGTCACAAGACATGAACATTACTTAGCATGTCTGGGGAAAGATGGAGACCTTAAAGATGAATCTAAACAATCTTTATAAACTCTGGGAGTCCTACAAGAACGCTTTCTTTGTTTTCCAGATAACTTTATTAAGGTATTTGAGTCTCTGCAGAGATTTATGGATGCATTCGTCCAAGCTCATGGGACCCTAACCCTTACACAATATTAATTCTTTTTCCACTGCACCAATACTTTATATTCTATACTGTACATTATTTCTGGTAAGTGACGAGACAAAGTCAGATCTTACTGTCCTAATGAAATTTAATTAAAAGCAAGGCATGATCATATTTTTGGGGGGTAAAATTAGCCTAATCTAGTAAAGGTCTTAGTCTTAGTCTCATATAAGCAGCTTCTGATGTCAAATGATCAACTAGAAGTCAAGTTAATATTTGTTGTTTCTCAAGCTTGCATAGGCGAGAAGACTTTTGTCAGGTAGTATAAACAGTCTATTTATATTGCAGTTGTCTTCCAGAAAACATAGGTGTTCATTTTATAATGCAAGAAGATGTTATTACCACAGTAGTGTCTTATCAGTTTAATTTTTGCAAAGGCCTGAAAAGGATGATGCATTAAAAAAATCTTCAGTCATTTATCTGTGAAAAACACTATTTTGATTAATCTTGTGGTCTAGAACTTGTCACTGTAGAGACATTCCGGATATCTGTATGCATATTGAGGGCTGCATGGCCTCAGTGTCTTTAAAATGTTTTTTAAGCTTTGGACAGATTTGATTATTGTTTGGTCAAGCTGAGACGGATCTGCGCAAACCAACAGTTCATCAACCGCTGCTCTGGGAAGACCTGACTGCTTGTCATTAGAGGTGAGTAGATTGTTGAGGATATATTTGCAAAGTAGGATAAAACTCTGTGCCTCTCTGACAGTCTCACATGGAGGAGGCCTCACACAAGAGCCACTGAGACAGGAGAAGACATCCAGCTCTTCAGGAAGAAGGTCTTTGTCAGGAGGATGACCTGCAGGGGAATGAAGGTATTAATTGGGTAATGGATTGTACACAATTATTGGTTTTACTGAATTTTGCCATGTGTGGTATTGAGTAAATTGTTAATATTTTATTTTGTCTTATTATGGTCTGATATCATTTCATTAAAAATGTCTAATTAATACTGTATATTGTCATTTAGAATCCCAACCACCCCCCACCCCGGGTTCACAATTGTACAGAATATAATTTATTTTTTGTTTGAAAATCTGGTTTATTTAATGTAATATTTACTGATTTAAAATAATAAAATCTATATAAAAACATTTAGCATTTTTAAATTTAGATGACATACTATAAATTACAGAATAATAGATACATTTAAATATTAAAAAATAATAATTTTAGCTTGTAAGGAGAAAATCCAGTCCAGTCTACTGTCACAGGATTACTTGTAAATAATTGAAATAATTGATGACTTTCTGTTGTAAATGTAAAAATATCTTTTCTTGCTTAAACCATTTGTGGAAACCAAATCATGTATTTTTTTTTAATTCTTTTTTATGTAAATTTTTTCTTTTGTCCTATTATGGTCTTATAGCATTTCATAAAGATTGTTTAATTAATACAGAATACAGGACAGAATAGCAATAATTTTTACGTTGTTTTGTTTGAAAATTTGATTTATTTCATGTTATATTAAGTGATTCAAAGTAATAAAATCTATATAACATTTTATATTTTTAAATTTAGATGAAATATCATAATTTACAGTATAAATGATTTTACATTTATATCTAAAAAGTAATAACTATAGCTTGTGAGTGAAGAGAAAATTCAATCATTAATCTAGTCTTTACTGTCACAAGATTACTTGTATATAATTTACATGATTGATGAATTTTTGTTGTAGTAAATGCAGAAATAGCTATTCTTGCTTAAACCTTTTGTGGAAACCAAATCATCAAATAAAAATTAAGTGTTAATATTTTATTTTGTCCTATTATAGTCTGATAGCATTTTATTAAGAATGTCTATGATTCCCCACACTATATTAACTGATTTAAAATAATAACATTTATATAACATTTTGTATTTTTAAACTTAGACAAAATGTATTATAATTTACAAAATAAAAGATTATACAAAAAATAATAATTAAGTAACTTTTATAAGTTCAAAGAAAATCCAATAAATTACTCCAGTCTTTACTGTAACAGGATTCTTCACATATCATTGGCATTATGGATAAATTTGTCTTGTTGTCAATGCTGAAATATCCTTTGTTGCACAAACCTTTCATAAAAACCAATTCATTTTCCATATTATTATGTAGTTGCAAATTTAAGACACCATCTTTGAAAGAAAAATGTTTAATGTAAATAACTTTAAGTCACCTTTGATCAATTTAATATCACTTCTTACTTAAAGTTTTAAATTCTTGAATCTTACTCTTGATATTTGTACATGGTGCTATAGATTATGAATTATTCTACCATACATTTACAATATAAATATAAATATAGTGAATAAAAAGTATTTAATCCCAAACATTTATAAAATTGACTGATGGTTGATTTCTGCATTGTATAAAATCCTGATTGCCTTAAATTGTTAGACTGAATCAAATTAACATTATGAGTCCATTGAACTTATATCATGTTAAACTAACTTAAAACAGCTTGCGTAACTTCTAAAATTAAGTTTTAGTTTTTAGTCGTTCCAATGACTTAAAAACATATGCTGTCAGGACTAATTGGTCATATCATTTATCACGAGTTATTCTGTAAAGGAATATGTCATTCATTTGGTTCCCAGATTTTTGTTCTTTATTAAAAACACTTTATAAATGTACCTTTCCACACCACCACTGCTGGTGTGCAATGTGCAATTTTGTACAATGTGCAATTTTGTACAAAATGTACTTTTGCAAATATACAAACCCTGTCATTGTCCTTAGCCCAATTGAAGCTACAGCTTTAAATGTTTTGTTATGCTAAAATCTATTATTTAGAAATAGCTAGTTTAAGTTGTTATCATTCACATCAATTAATTAAATGCATGAAATTATAAATAAATTCTACAAATAAATACTATTTTACAATTGTCCCCATCTTTCTGTCAGTCTTGTCACATTTGCATTAAAATTAACACAAAATGCATGCAGTACACCTTTAAGACTATGACTCAAAGTAAGTGAAATCATTTGATAAAGGAGAGGCTGACAGTGATCAAAGATGCGTTCCATCATTGAATTGTTTGATTTTATGCTTGTTTTTGTTTGGTTATTTTGAGGAAGCCAATTTTTTAAAGTTTTTTAAGTCAAAATCTACATTAAAAATATAAAATAAACCATCTAAACAAGAACAAGAGAAGAAAATAATATAACTATATTTTTGCATTTATTTGTAATATGTCAGCATTTTGTTGAATGCATATTCCATGTTAAAGATGTGATTTTTTAACATTTTTATTTTGTATTATTTATTTTTTTATATATATATATTTTTTATTATTACCACATCAAGTCTAGATGCTTAAAGCAACACCACACAAAACAATTTACAGGTAAATAGTTGATCCAGAACTGACCTTCCTGTAAGTCAATGATGCCTATGGTGCTGGTATCCACAATGAAGACCTTGTTGTCTTCCAGAATGCCGAACATGTCCTCTGGGATGCGGGTGTAGAAGAGGCGGAACCGCAGGCTGTTGGCGCTCAGGCTCTGGGTGATGTGCAGAAGCTGGTAGGCGAGATCTGCGCGCCGCTCCAGCGGAGAGGAAAACAGGGTCCTGAGGGCCCTGCTCGCAGCCCACACCATCAGCCTTCCACAGGAGCCATGGTAGCGGAGGAAGGGCCAACCCTCTGTGCCTGGAAACATCTGTGGGCAGAGGGGTCGAAAGCAGAGCTCAAAACAGGACGCGAGGGAACACGAGCAGGCAATGCCACTGTATATTTTCATTCACTTCATATATAAATAGGTAGAGTCAATCTTCCTCTGTGCGGAAGAACAATTTTGTCTTATAAAAAAAAGAAAATAATATATATTTTTTTTTCTTCTGACTATTGTCATCAGTCATATTCAGGTCTGTAGCCAGCCTGGGGAACAAGGTGGTTCTTTTTCCTCAAAAAGTAGAACGTTTTACAGTTATTCACTTCATTTTCTATTTAATTATGAGGTTTAAATACTGCATTTAGTGGCATTTTGAGCACTATTTTTAGCTGGATTAGCTTCTTGGCCATCATCAAAATCATATTAATTTCTGTATAACCATTTATGATTACACTGTTGACCATGCCTTAAACCTTAAACCTTAACCTTAAACCTACCCAGACCACCAAACCTGTCCCTAACCCCACCCATATCCCACCTCAAGAGCACCAGAAGTGTTCTGCAATACATTATGAACACATTACGTACATTGTATTTATTTTTTGAGGTAGGTAACAAGTAGTTAAGGCCAAAGTGGGACCTAATATACTACTCCCACTAATAATAATGTAGAGCTTGATGATTTTTTAAGCCTCTCTTGTAAAAAGTGTGTTTGAAAGTTCATGGATAACAACAATCTCCTTTCAAGATTAAGCTCCAAGGTGTAAAATAAATGAAGTTTCTTGTAAAATGTCCTCTCTGTTTTATTAATTCATTTATTTTCTTGTCAGCTTAGTACCTTTATTAATCTGGGGTCGCCTCAGCGGAATGAACCGCCAACTTATCCAGCACGTTTTTACGCAGTTGATGCCTTTCCAGCCGCAACCCATCTCTGGGAATGGATGTTTCCAGAAATCTCTGGAAACATCCATACACACACTCATTCACACAGACACTCATACACTACGGACAATTTAGCCTACCCAATTCACCTATACCACATGTCTTTGGACTGTGGGGGAAACCGGAGCACCCGGAGGAAACCCACGCAAACGCAGGGAGAACATGCAAACTCCACACAGAAACACCAACTTAGCCGAGGCTCGACCCAGCGACCTTCTTGCTGTGAGGTGACAGCACTACCTACTACGCCACCTTCTTCTCTATTTACTAACTCTAAGGTAAGTTCGAAGTGACTTCATTTATGTCAGATTTAGCCTTTTATGTGTTATTTTACATTAGACGATTGTTACCTACATTACACGGTTATTAGACAAGTCTTCGCTGAGGCCATCTTCCAGCCTCAACCCCGGCGAATGAAGCTCTGCACAAGACTTTTGGCCAGCGGAGAAATTAAAATGGTCGTGCCCAACTAAGTCTGGTTCTCTCAAGGTTTTTTTTCTTCACTCCCATCAGGTGAAGTTTTTTTTCCCTCTCCGCTGTCGCCACTGCCTTGCATGGTTCAGGATTGGTAGAGCTACGCATCGATAAATTTGCTCTTCAGTGTTTGAACTCTCAGTAATGATTAAATCGCACTGAACTGAGCTAAACTGAACTGAACTGAACTTAAACACTAAAACCTGAACCACACTGTTCCAGTTACTATGACCATTTATGTGAAGCTGCTTTGACACAATCTACATTTTAAAAGCGCTATACAAATAAAGCTGAATTGAATTGAATTGAATTTTCACTATGATGGCAAATCAGTCAAAATAGGACAAATGAGCTCATGTATGGGACAAATTCTGGACTTTTGTCAGTTGAGGGTGGGTCTTTCGAACCACCTGAACCCCCAAACCCCCCACCCTGGCTACGGGCCTGATGTTTTAATCCTTTTTAACCACAGCTATCGGGCATAAACAATCACTTTTTACAACATAATAGTCAAAAGTCATTACTGTTTTACAAATCAGTTGTTAGTTGATTTTTGTGTGGAAATCCCCTTTTAAAGTTGTTAAAACTAAGCTTTTTGCAGTGCATATTACTAATCAGAATTTACATCTTGATATGTTTATGGTAGGACATTTACCAAATTTCTTCATGGAACAATTTTTATTTGATATTTTAATGCTTTTGGCAAAGAAGAAAAATAAATTATTTTTGCTCACAACAAATTGTTTACTATTCCTAAAAAAATATTTGCAACTTAAGATGTTGTGGTCCAGGGTCACTATAATTTGACTTTTACGTTTGGTGATAACATACACTCTAAAAAGAATACTAGTTGCTTTCAATTTTTTAAGCTGAATCAAATTAATTTTATGAGTCCATTGAACTTGTATTATGTACAACAGCTCTCACTGTTTTACACTCTCAGAAATTAAAGTACAAAATCTGTCACTTTGATGGAACCTTTTCGAAAGGTACACTATTGTATCATACAGCTGAACATATGTACCTTTAGGGTACACTTTTGTAACTTAAAGTTACTGTGAAGTACAGATCTGTACTTTTTGGACATTAATATGTACCTTTAAGGACCTGTTAGGAACAAAAATATACCATTTGAAAAGGTACTGCCTCAGTGACAGATTTTGTATCTTTATTTCTGAGCGTGTAGAACATGATTAACTTAGTTTACTGTGTTACAAGTAATTTAAAATGTGCTGTCATGACTAATTGATCATATCGTTTTTTACAGTGTTCAAAAAAAAACAAGAAAGAATCTGTAATGTTTTGTCTGTTTTCTCGTTATCATTAACATCACTAAACACACCTAAAATCACAACATTTTGACTTTCTACCAATCATGTCTTAACTTTTCTGTTTACAGTGCACAATATTGTGGCCAACTGCATGTGTTCAGTGGAGGATCCTTATTTTCACTTCTCCACTTATCAAGTAAGTGCTAGAGATATTGAATTTATGATTCGTATTGTTAGTTATAAATTGTTATTCTTGTTAGACAAAACCTGCAATCAACTTTCAATGTAAAACCTTAATTGAGACTACAATGTTTTATGTGAATGTAGACAGAGATAACATCAATAACATAAAAAAAAAAAAAGTAAAATATGATATTATATAAAGAGGTCATTGTGAAAATATTGAGTTTTTCAAAACCAGGTTCATTATGAAACTTCTTTAAGCTTTTTAAACATCATGCTATTTTTACAGATGGAAGAACCTTTTTTTTTTAAAGCTATACATTTTAATAACTTCATACATTTCCAGGGGATCAATCCCATGACCCTGACTTTGCTATCACCATGCTCAATTACCTCACATTGAGCAGTAATAATTATATCAGCCCACTTATCATTATACCTGCAGTATGAGGGGCTGTTGATTGACAGCCAGTGTATAAAGCAGTCTAAGTTTATCCTTTTCATTGAAGTGCTTCATCTGCACACTGCCCACGTCAGTCACTTCGAAATAACGGCGCACAATGCGGTCCAGCAGCCTTTGAGATGGACAGCGCAGCATCGGGGTCACCAGACCCTATAGAGAAAAGCTTTTGTTAGATGTTACTCACAATAATGATTGAATGTGAACAGGCATATAGTTTCTTCATTCATGAGCTTACATGCAAGTAAAGTATATACATATTTAATAGGATATATATATATATATATTTATATATGCTGTAAACAAAACAGGTAATTGGGATATATTTTAAATCTAAATATCACTTTAATGTTATATATATTTTATTACTTTTAATTCAAGAGGTAACCTGCTATTTCAAGAGTTTAAGCTTAGTTGTCTAAGTAGATGCGTATTTAGCATGCTGTCCCAGGAGAGAGTCCTGAGCTCAGAGGATTCACGAGCCCGGGGCTTCCCCCTGTTAAGTCAGGAGAGACAAAGGGGAGTCTGAGCTCAGGTAGGCCTTAAGAACTCCTCTGTTATTAAGAAAGGAGTCAGGGTGGATGGGGGTTTCTTCAAAAATTAAGATGACTAAGGGAAGGAACAGGGGTGTTGCTAGGGTCGAAAAGAATAAGGGGCTTAGACCAAAAGAAGTCTCCCCCAGAAACAGGGTAGTGCTGAACAGCTGACTATTTAAATACCCGACACAAAACTGCGTTAAGTAGAATGCGTGTGATGTGCTAATTTTACTTTAATAACAAAATGAATGTCATACAACCCATTATTTTAAGTGCAACATATTCCAAAAGATCAGGCACTTTTGACAATACATCAGGGGTTTGGCCTCCAAAACCCCCGCCCCCCTCGCAACACCATTGGTAAGGAAAGCAGACTATTTATGTGAGCTTTGAGTCATCTGATTGGTTAGTCGGTTGTTGGTTATTAGTTGATGCAAAAACAGCAATGGTCAATCATAACCATGTTATCCTCTCAAACTTTAGTAATATAAAACTTCACTTAAGCACGATCGCCTCACAGCAAGAAGATTGCTGGTTCGAGTACCGGCTGGGTCAGTTGGCATTTCTGTGTAGAGTTTGCATGTTCTCACCATGTTCCGTTTTCCCCCACAGTCCACAGACATCCGCTATAGGTGAATTGAGTAAGCTAAATTGGCTGTAGTGTATGTTTGTGAATGCAAGAGTGTATGGATGTTTCCCAGTGATGTGTTGTGGCTGGAGGAACATCCGCCACATAAAACATATGCTGGATAATGCTGCGTAAAACATATGTTGGATAAGTTGGCAGACCCCTGATTAATAAAGGGACTAAGCTGAAAATAAAATGAATGAATAAAAACTTCGCTTGATTAGTTGTGAAATGTGCAAGCAATTTGAGTGATTTTTTTTCCTGGTCATTTGTTTATTCTAAAACCACCTTAGAAGAGTTTTGTCATTTTGTTATTTTCACAACAAATATAATTTTGTTTTGTGGTGAAAGTCTGAACTCTTCTTTCATAGCTGGCATTTCATGAATCCTAAACACCAACAAATAACATTTTTCAAACATTTAGCAGAATTTGACATATGTCCACATTTTAAGCATTTAACAAGCCAAAGTTTTTTCAAACAGGCTTTTTGCTGTCGTCTCCTTGACAGCCAAGTCCATATTATTTGAAGCACAAAATTGTTTGGTGTATTGGAAAAATTGAGGCTGACTAAAATCTAGGTCTGAGATAAGAATAAAAACAATAAAAATTGCTGATAAGATTTTACATCAAGATTGTTGATGTAAATGTGACTTTTCTATATTAAACAAACCATAAAGTAGAATTGTGGAATATGAAAGTACCAACATTTCAAGAAAAAAACAATGTCCATAATCAAAATTTTCTATGATTGAAAACACTTACACTGGATTCAAAAACAGCCACATTGCAAGTGCTTAAAGGTCCATTAAAATTAAAACAATATTTTTTTGGAAATTGGTATCAGTCATACCTGCAACATTGTTTCCAAAATTCAGAGAGTTCTGGGGTTTGGGGCTGTGTTTGTCTGAATAACACAGCTGAGAACCGGGTTATTAACTGTACTTTGGTGTTAGCAATTGTAATATGGACCGGGTTTCGGGCGGGCGCTGTGATCGAATTTGAAGACATAATGGATCTGAAGAAATAATGTGATGGTCCTACCAAATTTTGCGACCCGGCGGTGTTACAGACTTTAACAAAAAGCTGAGGACCGGGGGTGAGGTAAAATTACGGGATTTTTCTGGGAGAAATATGAGTCTGAAATACAGTAGACTCCCAGGAAAAACAGCAGTTTTGGCAGGTTTGATATCAGTATGTTAGTCTCCAACAATATCTAGAAGGGAGTGTGGTACAAAACAGTAAAAAAAAAAAAAATTATATTTAGAAGATTTTAAACTGATATAAACATTTAAGGCTTGTAATTTGTCACTTCTGCCTAAATAAATCAATGTTTTTTTTTTCCTCATACTTCCGTTTCTTAATTAAATCTTGACCAATCAAATGCATCCTAGTATCTGTCATGCTTCGGACGCTTCTCTTTTGCTTTTCATTTGATGCGCTTGAGTTCAACACTTTAAGAACCAATCCTTACCATTAAATAGTTGTTTATAAACATATATGTTATTGATATAGTGGCTGCTTATTAGTACTTATAAACACATATTCTGTATGGTCTTATTCTACATCCCTAATTCTACCCAATACCTAAACTACCTTAATGAGGAGCAAATTAGGAGTTTATTGAAGCAAAAGTCAAAATAGTTTGCTAAGAGTGAGAATTGGACCCTAAAATAAAGTGTCTTTCCATATAGTGCTATTCAATCATTTGCTGGAACCGATAGATACATTATATCGCAATATATATCGCAGAAAAACAAAATAACGCAATGACAATTTTCTAATATCTTGCAGCCCTACTTCACAGGACTTTCCCTTTGCACCTCCCAATTTTCCAAATTAATATTCCTTTGAAAATGTAATTGTTCTGACCACAAATCCTCAGTCAGTGCTGACCTCAAATAGACATGACAATACAAAAGCCACAAATTCAGACCTTCACCATGCTGGGAAGCAGTAGGTTGGAATGAACCCAAGTTTGGAAGCGTGAGGTGGCCCTGAGGACGCCTTCAATGCTGCAGGATTTCCCTTTGCCTGCTGAGGTGCAAATGCTATTGTCTGATAACTGGTGCAGGTGAGGAGACATCAGGCGGGACACCACCACTGGTCTCCAGCCCGCTGTGCTGTCTGTGTAGTTTCCCTCATAGGAGCGCACGTCTGCTGAGGATAGATTAGACTGAGCCGTCAGCCTCCTTTCAAACCTGCAGTGAAATAAACAGGGTCTGTGTTAGTTTCCTGTTTTTGCTGTCACTGCTTGAGCTTACTCTAATCAATGATTAGATACAGCAAGATCTAAGTTCTTGTGCTGTTATAGCATACAAATGCTTGGCTAGACTTTATTTTGCAGGTTCCCTTTAGACATTCAATTCTACTACATATCTACTAGCAGTAATTTGTAGACAGTCTGCTTCATATCTGCCAACATTATAATTTCAATGGTCATCCAATAGACATTCTGCTGAGTAGAAGTGGTTGGAGAGTTATTTATAATCCATGTATCTACATTTACATCTATTTATTTAGTAGATTGTTTTTATCCAAACAGAAAGAAGCACTTTAAATCACCAGAAAACAGCTGTGTATAGTTAGTTTAGCAGTTCATTTATATATAAATAGACATATACATGCATATATATTACTACAATACACTACCTGACATAAGTCTTGTCACCTATACAAGTTTTAGGAACAACATATAATAACTTGACATCTAGTAGATCATTTGCTATCAGAAGTGGTTTATGTGAGGCAAAGGCCTCTAGATTGTGCTTATTTTACCATACATCTCTGCAATGACTCAAATAACTAATAAAGTCATCTGGAATGGCAAAGGAAGCGTTCTTGCAAGACTCCCAGAGTTCATCAAGATACTTTGGATTCATATTCAATGCCTCCTTCTTTATCTTACCCCAGACATGCTCAATAATGTTCATGTCTGATGAGTAGGCTGGCCAATCCTGGAGCACCTTGACCTTCTTAGCTTTTAGGAACTTTGATGTCTAGGCTGAAGAATAAGGAGAGCTATTGTGCTGAAGAATTTTCCCTCTCCTGTGGTTTGCAATTTAATAGGCAGCACAAATGTCTTGATACCTCAGGCTGTTGATGTTGCCATACACTCTGCAGATCTCTTGCATGCCTCATACTGAATGTAATCCCAAACCATGACTTTTCCTTCACCAAACTTGACTGATTTCTATGAGAATCTTGGGTCCATGCGGGTTCCATTAGATTCCAACAGATGATTCATCCGAAAAATCTACCTTCTGACACTTTTTAAATGATCAACTAGAAGTCAAATTATTATTTGTTGCTCTTACAACTGGGATCGACGACAAGACTTTTGTCAGGTAGTGTATATTAACCCTCATCTAAAAGTCTACCAATAGTCTAATTTGAGTCATAGCTATGTTGCAAAGTAGTCAGCAGAATATCTGTTAACGTATTCTACTAGTCCAAGCCTCTATTAATACAATCTAAAACTCTACATTGTCACTCTTTAATGTTTATTCACAGTTTTTTTTCTTTTCTGTCAGTTAGTTGACATCAATTTTCTAAGATAATTATAGTCATATAAAATGTCTATTGATTAAAAAACCCTGTTAGTTTATTTTAAGTTAGTTGACAAGTAGTTGCAAAGTTACTAAGTCAATAAAAATCTACAGTGGACAAAATAAAGTAAAACACTTATTTTTGCTTTTAAGAAATTAGAAAAGATAAAAAAAGAAGTACTTCATGATGTTTATATTTTGAACTATGTCTTCTTGTATGCATATGCATATATACTGTAAATGATGCGGGGTAAAATGTAACTCAGAGTTTTAGGGTATTTGCTCAGGGTTAACCATGGCTAACCAGTCTTCCGAGGTTTTCACCACAGTGTCAGCAGATGTCTTCCTGACAATTTTTTAAAAAGTTTGGCAAAATCTGGATGAGAAACACAGGAGAAACCATTTATGTAGCGTAAAAGTATTTTTAATATCCTATGGATATTTTTTATTGAAAGAGAATTGTGAAAGTATGTACGTAAAATCTTATAATGTTGTAATTACTGTCTTCTAGGCTAAAAGATGAAAACATTTTGAAATGCTGTGACTGCAAGCCTGGATAATAGACTGGATAATGATGCAAATACCACATTTCTAGAACTGACCACATTTCTAGAACTGCTCGATCGTGCAGATTTGCACTCTATAACATGAGAAAGATCCGACCCTTCTTATCTGAACATGCAGCTCAACTCCTTGTTCAAGCTCTTGTTCTCTCCAAACTGGATTACTGCAACTCTCTACTAGCTGGGCTTCCAGCTAACTCTATCAAGCCTCTTCAACTGCTCCAGAATGCAGCAGCACGAGTTGTCTTCAATGAACCTAAACGAGCACATGTCACTCCGCTGCTAGTCCGTTTGCACTGGCTGCCAGTTGCTGCTCGCATCAAATTCAAAACTCTGATGTTTGCCTACAAAGTGACTTCTGGCCTAGCACCTTCTTATCTGCACTCACTTCTGCAGATCTATGTGCCCTCCAGAAACTTGCGTTCTGTGAATGAACGTCGCCTCGTGGTTCCATCCCAAAGAGGAAAAAAATCACTTTCGCGAATGCTCACGCTCAATCTGCCCAGTTGGTGGAATGAACTCCCTAACTGCATCAGAACAGCAGAGTCACTCGCTATTTTCAAGAAACGACTAAAAACTCAACTATTTAGTCTCCACTTCACTTCCTAATCTGCAATTGCCTATTTGAATATCACACTAACTGTACAAAAAAAAAAAAAAAAAAAAAAAAAAAAAAATTACTAACACTTCCCTTCTTAGACTTTACAGACCTGAAACTTGCCTTTAGTACTTATTCATTGTTGCTCTTAGTTGTGTAAATTGCTTCCTTGTCCTCATTTGTAAGTCGCTTTGGATAAAAGCGTCTGCTAAATGACTAAATGTAAATGTAAATGTAAATAAATCCAAATGTGTTTATCTAAAAAATATTTAAACATGCTTTGCTATGTAGATTCAATAAAAAAGTTAAGTACTAAGAAAATATACTATTTAAAGTAAACTGAATTTAAACTAATTGTGTGAAATCTGACTTTTAAAGCATGTTTTACAACTAACCCTCTCACTGTTACAACTTGCCCCGCTGGTGGGGTAAACATTTTTACTCCTGACACTTTTGGCAATACTGCACAGAAACCATAGGTCCGGCGATCATACTTTCAATGCTCATTTATAGGAGAGGCCTTGTGTGATTTTTTTTTTTTTTTTTCAACACATAACAGTTTTAATAACTCATTTCTAATCACTAATTCATTTTATCTTTGCCATGATGACAGTAAATAATATTTAACTAGATATTTTTCAAGACACTTCTACACAACTTAAAGTGACATTTAAAGTCTTAACTAGGTTAATTAGGTTAACTAGGCAGGTTAGGGTAATTAGGCAAGTTATTGTAGAAGGATGGTTTGATCTGTAGACAATCACAAAAATATAGCTTAAAAGGGCTAATAATTTTGACCTTAAAATGGTGTTTAAAATTAAAAACTGCTTTTATTCTAGCCAAAATAAAACAAATAAGACTTACTCCAAAAGAAGAAATATTATCATCTTGTATTATATACATACAAGAAAAAAGTTAGTTAAAAGTATGAACTTCATGAAGTGCTTTTTTATCTTTTCTAATTGTGCTGTGTACTTGAGTATATTATATAGGATCAGTGACTATTGACTATATACATGATTTGTTTTTGTTTTTTTACCAGATGTGCTATGATACAGAACTTTTTTATCTTAATCTACTTTTTTATCCAAAGATTTGATTACTTTGTTGCATTTATCCTACAATATGAATAACTTTATAAAAAGTGAATTGTTCTCTGCGGAAATGTGAAATATTCCAGTTTACCTTATTTCATCCTTGAAAAACTTCTTGCAAATGGATGTTCCAATGCAGGCGTTGCATTTATCCAAACCCAAGAAGATCTTTCTGAAGTCATGTGATTTGTCTTGGGGTGCTGGTGATGGGTCTGCTGTGCCAAATACTAATATGAAACACAATATCCAAACCCCTGACCATATCCCTGCCATCACTGCATCATAAACCCCAGAGTCACAGTGCCATAATGCCCTCCCAATGTGATTAAAAAACCTGCAGACTAAACGTGAGCACACCAGCACAGTGAAGTGGCACCTCTTAAGTGTCAGCTGTAGTATATCTGTTATGTCCCCTGCACTAAACGCCTCACTTAGACAGGAAACATATGGGGAACAAAGATAACCCTTGTCGTCATGGTGATACTTCCTCCTGCACAGTCCGATTTCAAAGCCGTACACACAAAGGTTGGAAGGCCTGTTTTATCCATTAAGTTATTTTAAAATAATTAAACCATTTTGAGAATATGCAAATTATTCAAACCACCTAAAAAGACTCTGATTAATTATTTATTTTGTTCAACCACTGCTCCAGAACCTGTTTCTTTCCACCAACAAAATGTCTGTACGTCAAAAGTTATATGCAGTGAACAGAATGTTGAATTAGATTTGAATTACTACTGCTGTTTAATAGAAATTTCAGGTTTCGTTGTTATTATTTTATGGAACTGCCAAATCTGAACAATTTAATATAGAATTGGATCAAATATGTTGAGTAATCTGCTTGCTGAACTGAATGGAGGCTATGATGTAAGCTTGTTGCTTATTGTGTAGGGGAGAATGGGGACTGTTGCAACATGGCAGTTGCAGCCAGATTTATTCCTCATTCAGGTATGAGCTAGAATGATGATATTTATACTACACTGTAAAACCCAACAGTCAACTTTATCAATAGAAAAGAGTGTAGTTAACTTAAAATTGACTGAAAGGTAACTCTACTCATTTGAAAAGAGTTTTGAACTCAGTGTTGAAGGTAATGCGTTAATTAAAAAATTTCTTCAACTTAAATGTAGTAAGTTCACAGTAATCATATAAATTAGTTTTTTTTTTTTTTTTTTAACTCAAATGGTTTGTTGTAATCAGTTTCCTTGAATGTTTTGTAATGCCTTTACTTTTTGGGTTTTACAGTGTTCATATTGTCAATTAGACCCTCCTTCAGTTTGAGAGAAATCAGCCAGATTAAAAAAAAAAGTTATTATTTAATGTTTAGAAACTTTTTCATTCCGTCTAATCTGTTTTTGAGAAACATTATTCATTCGTATAATTTAAATCACTGTTTTCTTAGCTTTAAATATGTTGTAAAACCCCAAAAGTCAAAGTAACTCAAACCATTTGAGGAAACTGATTGCAACAAACCAATTAAGTTCAAAAATGAATCTATATGAGTACTGTGAACTTAACTCCATTTAAGTTGAATCACTGAGGTATTCAATTAAGTCATTACCTTCAACACTGAGTTCAAAACTCTTTTCAAATGGGTAAAAATGACTTTCAGTAAATTATGAGTTAACTACAATCATTTCATTTGATAAAGTTGACTGTTGGGTTTTACAGTGTAGTTATAGCTGTCAATAGATAAAGCTATTGTTTCTCCCTAGCATAAACAGTTTAATCAGGGTTGATAGTGTTAGGACATGCTGTTGCAACTGTCCCCAATTACAAACTTCTTTTAAAAGCTTGCCATATTAACAATGTACAGCTTTAATTGTATCACGGTTTCAATCTAATTTAATATGAAAAAACAAACTATTTTATTAATTCATTCATTTCCAAGTTTTCAGTAAAAAAAATACAAATAATATATAAAAAACTAGGTTTTTAGTAATGATACGCCCATAATCATTACGCATAAACCTGCAAATTTTTTCTTTACAAAATTTTGCGCAGAAAATGTCGACAGATTCTGTCTGGCCCTGTATATGGCTTATATATGGTTATGTTAGTATTGCACCAAAACAAAAAATGGTTGTGCATGAGATGCAATTGAAGAACCTTTTTTTTGTTCCCTAAGAACCTTCAAACCTTCATTTATTTTAACGAAAGGAACATTTTTAAAAATCTGAAAAACATTTTGAGCAATGAAAAGGTTTTAAGTTAAAGGTTCTTTGTGGACGATGCCTTTCATTTTAAAGAGTGTCGACCTTGTAAAAAAAAAACACATCTTTTCTGGTTTAAGACAAGCTGTGACACTAAGCGGGCAATAGATGTCAGTGGTGAGATTTGTAAAACTGACTGAATGCATTTGAAAACGAAAGATTAAATTTTATTCTAGTTGCGTTAGTCACACGTGTGATTCACAGTCCGTGTTAAACATGCTTGTGTTTTTACTTGCGCTGATTCACAGCTGTATGGAGAACACCAGAGATTATTTAAGATTAAAGGAAAATATCAATATGTGGGAGTACATTCTGGAAGTTTTCTTTGGTCTAGTCATCCGACCACAGGAAAACATCGTTAAATTATTGTAGGAAGTGGGGTAAATTTAGGATAACTAACACAGTCTGTTATTCAAGTCTGTGTCGACGATGAATCATTTTCTGTAGGAAAAAAAAACTTTAATATGAATGGCGGTTATAGCTATTGCTCAACTTTGACCTAATAAAAATAAAACAGTGTATGAGATAACGGTGGAATTTTTTTAGTTATATACTTCGTTTTTTGTGTGTCTAATCTTAACCATGTTAGGGTATATTACCATTTAACGGAGTGTTGTCCAAAGTTATTTAGAATATAGACAACAACTTGTACAAGACTTACTCCCTTTATTCATCCATCTTCAGGTCTTGCGTGATAGCCTATATTTTCCTTCGATGTACTTAGCTAGAGCTCATCGTAAACAAACAAACATAAAAAAACAATTAGTAAATAAAATTAAGTAATCGGTATACCAATTTCTGCCCCTAGAAGTGTTGTGTAGCATTGACCCGCCTGGCACTGAGAGGGTAACTGCTCTTGACTCTATATAGGGTACATAAATAGTTCACCGCGCATTTGACTCACCGCGTATTAATCATCAGTCCCGGGACGAGAGGAAGCGCAGTTTGACTAAGTGACTAAACCAAAATCTTTCTAAATGAAACTGCTTTTTCTATTACAAATAAAGACCTCATGGTTGCATAAGACAAGCTTATAAGCTTTTAGCAGTAGCCTACATAATATTTAGATATTATAAAATAGGTTTTTGTAAAACGAAAATGAGCTGTTTTCACATTAGGTCCTTAAAATAGCTCAGTATTGTTTTTCTTTTTCCTAAATGAAGAGCATTATGGTACAAATCTAAAGACTGTAAACCTGCACATGATGTTTAAAGAACCATCTGGAATGGAATAATTATTCATTCTTGATGAAATCATTAATGCCAATGGTTTCTGTCTTTGTTTGTTTGTTTCTATGTATTTAATTATTTCACCTATATATATATATATATATATATATATATATATATATATATATATATATATATATATATATATATATATAGCATACTATAGGTATTTTAAAATTGTTATTGTCAAAATTATATTTCCACTATTATTGTTACCTTCTCTCAATTGCAAAAAAAAAAAAAAAAAAAAAAAACATGAATGTAGCCTACAACTCTTAAGCATTTAATGGCGTTTAATGAATATGCATATATCATATTGTGTAAATCAGGGTTATTTTAACAAAAGTCTACACATTTAAAGCAGAATAAGTAATAACCTTCATCTGTGATCTCGGCTATGGGCTTGTTCATTATTGTTATGGCCATGAGCACAAAATTCCCCCAAATACCAATAGCGTTAGTGTTCATGCTGATGATCTTACTCATGTGTGGCATCGGATTGTAGGCTATTTCCGCTATTATGTCAAAGTGCACATGTTATTATTGTAGAGTAAATATGCTCTGCTTGTGATATGAATTACAGTAATTAAGTCGTTAAACATACAAAACACCTCGAATCTAATCCTAACATACAATTTATTCGATTTGTAGGCTATTTGATGAAGTGTAACTGTCACCCTTTTTTGCTTTAACACAACCAGGTTTCAGTATAGCTATTTGAAGTGGAAAAGAAAGTCTGAATCGATGTCATTAGAGCGGTTGACAGGAATTTTGTGGGGAAGTAAAAGAAGAGAAGACTAAGTTAAAAGGTATTTTAATACATCGAGTTTTGCGCCTTTCAGCCACTCTAAAGCGAGTACTGTGGTTTGTCAATATAGAAGCCACGCGATGGCGGTGTTTACAACCCCAAGACAGCTGTAAAAACAAGGATCAGCAAACAAATAGGCTTTGAAAACGGGAAGCTTTTAATATTGAGGTTTAATTTGGACAATTAAAAGAACGATGCCGAGTAGGTTACAAGAAAATGTCCTACTCAAAATGAACACAGTACAATTGTGACATTTAGCCTATTTTATTTATATCTACTACACTTTTGAGTGTCATACCTCATTTATAAGTAGGCTGGCTAACACAGCAAGAATTCTAAGTGGATGAAAGGTCAAAGAAAGGAAATTGTCAAGCAGCTTACGCTTGAAAGGTTTGTTTATGAAACTCTTGAACATTGCTTTTAATCATTGACATTAATTCAGTGATGACACCTTAGTTCATTGCTATGCATAGGCTTCATGAAGTATCACTATCTGTACTGGAAAAAAAAAACTACTGCTGCTTGTTCAAACTACCTGTTTTAAATCAGCTGAAAGAACACAATTCTTGTAATTTATTTTGCCAATTTATTTGTTTTATGTTTAGTCCATTTGAATTAGTAAATCATTACAGTAGGTTAACTTGAGCGTTTTGTGTTGGGAAAACATGAAGGAATTGTGTTGGTCCAACTACCTGGCTAAGGGATTTGTAGTTCCCAGCATTCTTTTTGTGTAGTTGAATTAAGAGAGGGAAATGTCTACAATAAAAGTAATATTAGGTGTTTAAAGTTAATAGAAAGACTTGTTAGAGTTTAATCTTCACTTTAGTTTGAAGATTTAGAAGAGTTTCATGTAATGCTTTAAGTTTGGAGATTGCCACCTTGAGGAAGCAACAGCCTGATCTCGAAGCACCCATGCTTTGGGTCTTGCTAGATTAATTAGCAAAAATGCAGTTTGTTGCTTTGCTCAGTGAGCAATAACTGTCCTAAAATTAGTTCTGAGATCAGTCTCAATCAACGGTATTTGCTTAACAATTTTGGATAACTTGAAATAAAACTAAGACTTTGAAATGTGCAACCCATATACAAATATATTTAAAGTTTTATTTGATAAAATCATGTTGGACCAACTCAATTTCATTTAATTATGTAAAAAGTTCAGGTAACACTTTATAATAACTACACACTATCATTAAATCATTTATTAAGCATTAGCAAATAGTGAATTCATTATCCGTTAAGCATTAACTCTACATTAATAAACATTAGTAAGCTGTTTATAACTGCAGCTACAAATGCTCTATTCTTGACTTATAACCATATTTAAAATGTGCTTAATAATTGTATTTACATACTTAGTAAATGATTAATTTTTCATTACTAAATTAAGCATCGCATTATTTACAAACCAGTAGTATCTAAGAGTAGTTGAGGGTTTTTAGGATAATTCAGAATGAGTTAGTA